GCATAAATAGTAAGAAATGATTTCGCTGAGATGATATTCAAGCATGTACGAGTGTCTTAGAATATTAATGATATATTATTGAATCGAAAAGTAAACTCATAATTTTTCGTAAATAAGATCTCTGGAGAAACTCTAATACTTATTTTTAACTTATAAGAAAGCGACCGGAATTGCATTTTCTCTGAATCAAGCGCTCGAGATTAAATTAATTAATAAACTTGCTGCTTTCTTACTATTTATTTAAATTTATTTGTTTTTATGTAACTCCAAATGTAACTCGAAGAATCAGAAAGAAATGTAATTCGAGAGTCAAAAGAGCTCTTTCAAGTATTCTTTTATTTGGAATATTACTCCATTTATTTATTACTTTATTATTTATTACTCCATATATATGTAGATTTGACATAGAATCAACTGGTAGATTGAAAACAAGTTCACCTCTTTTTTTCTCAAAAAGAGAAAATTTTTAATATTTTTTAATATTTTCTTGTTTAAATCAAATCTTCATTTAATTAATCTATGGATAATTTTTATTATAATTATGTCTTTCTTAAGAAGGCAAGATTATTTGAAAAAAATTTGAAAAAATTTATCTATAATAAACAACAACTCGAGAAAAGAGCCACCGCGGATGGTAGTGCGTAAAATTTTAAAGATTAGTAATTCGCGAAAATTAAAACGCGTGAAAGACTTATGCATATATTTTACTTGGTGCATTAACCAAGATATAGATTCTCAATACCAAGAATATTATAAGACCTCTCTTTACCCCCCTGAAGAGACTTTATCTATAATAATGTTTGAGAAATTAAAACGAAAACATTCGTGTCGCTTGAGCAAGATCAAGTTGCATAATAATGTAATTATTACTGTCTGTCGGATTTGAAAATTACTTGCTACGGTTGAGAAATTCGAATACTGGAATATATTTTTCACTCTATTAAAAAAAGAAAAACATTCTGAATTATTTTCATTTGGCGCATTTAATATTATCGTCGATTATATTTATGGGACAAGTAACAAAAATTTACGTATCAGCCGAGAACGGAATGCGTAGATTTTATTCGGACGTGAAAGTGCCGCGAGAAAAAGAAAAGAAGGTACATGACCCGCAGGCATTCGGAAATGTATATGTACATACACAGGAAGATAAAAAGATACATATTTATCATATTTACTACTCCTCTCAAACATATAAAATTCGATGCCTCTTCGATAAGCACCCGTGTGAAAGTACAATAACTCGTTGCGAATGTTTTTCTCTTTTCTTTTGTCAGGAAACTGACGGCATATTTCTCTCTTATTTTCTTTTATAGACATAAATGTATTTGCATTTAATTTGTGTTTGGTCTTTGCGTAACGATTAATATTCGCGTTAGATGTTCCATATATCGGTAGCATCCCGAATTTTTCCAGACCTAAATAATCCGCGAGGACTGCTCAGCTAAACACGGACTCCACGCGGACTCCACGCGGACTCAATCGATAGCCAATAATCATAGATCCTCGATCCTTAAATCCAATAGAAAACTCGGATTTTGTCACTCGCGAAGTCTCTCGCGTCTTATTCGCGTTTCTTCTCGCATCCTTGTCGCACCCTCGTTGCATCCTTTTCTCTAATTGCTTTTAAAGGGCAAGCTCGAGCGAACCTCGACTCGGCTTTATCTATTGTAACTCGATATGCAGATAAAAACTAAACCAAAATAATACCAATTTTCATGTCCGCCTGTCATCACTTTCTTATCGCGTACAAGATTTATGTCTTAATTTAGTTACTCGCACAAATTTATTTCGTATATTTCAGTTACTTATACACTCGTTTCTAACGGTGTAGTTTTTAATACTTTCTCTTTAAACTCGATTGATTAAAGGTGCACTTTATATATTATTCATATATTACAATTAAAGCAATCAATGTTATCTGTATAAATATTTAGATATACATATATTATTTTGTTTTTCAGCTATAAAATATTGTTGTAATTAATGTACATTAATTCATTGATAATTTCGATTTGCATTTAGAAAAAAATATATTTAAAACATTTTAACTATATCTTCTAAAAAATTATTTGCAGATTTTAAAAACACATTTATTGTTCTATATAAATAATTCGCAAAAAATGTTATAAAAAGACCTAACACAATGCTTACTTAAATGAGAAATACGTTGTGTTACATTTTTAATTAATAAAAATTTTCATTGATTCAGTTTAAGATAGTATGTTTTATATATACAATTAGTTAGCTTTCTTATACAGATTGCTTTTATCTTTCGGTCGACTTTTTGCATAAGAACGGAAATAAATAATAAGAAAAAGAGTTAAGCAGTTATGTATTAATATGAACGCTGTTGCAAATCTAAGGAGCAGCAATTGTGATAATAATTATTATATATAATATATAAAATATAATATATACAATAAAATTATTATATAATTTTCTCATTGTTATTTATTATTTTAACATCTCTGTGAATTAGATTCCAATTTTCCTTTATTAAAAAAAATGATCGTCGTGTACCTAACTTTTTGTTCAATAATATTCATATAAGTAGACATTACAATGAGAAAAAAAAATTTTATTTTAACTAAATGCCTACATATTTATTTCGTACATAACGTAAAATCGGTAGCTATATGAGTCAGATTACATTATTGAATGATATAATCAATTCCATATACAAATTATATAAAATTATATATAATATAAATTTCTCTCTTTCTCTTTCATATATATAAATTATATTATATTATAAATTTATTTAATGCAACCCCCCATGAGTACACCTTGACGTGGTGGGGTGGCTCAGTACTTGGATGGTGCCTTGAGGTTAAAATCGCAGCATAAGAAACTTTTATCTCGATAATCACGTAATGTACGATGCTTAACGAAATCAATTTTTATCATTTATCACTCATTATATGTTATATAATATATATTATTTATTTATTTATGTGATGTACGATCAATTGAAATATCATTGACTTTTATAGAGTTGATAGATGTTATATTAAATTAAACGCATAATGATTTATGACATATGTATGAAAAAAACATATGTTCGGCCGTTCGAAAAGCGCCACGTATCGTTACGCGATTAAAGATGCGTCTTCCTCTTCCTGCGTCCGCATCTGCGACGTAACTCTAAGTAAGGGTCCGATGTCGACAAGAGGGATCATTCCTCGCGATTTAGACGGAAGGGAAATTCGCTACACGCGGGCACGAATTGGCTTGAACGATAAATTAGACCGCGACGTCAACGCTGCGCGGAATAGAAAGTTGCCCCGATGTTGTACAATATGAGAAGCACCGGGTAAAGAGAGGTGGAAAACGCACCCAAATCTCATAGAGAGTAAATTAGAGAAAATATTTGTCTACTTTTACTTTTTTGATAAAAAAAAATTGATTGAGCTAAAGATGTAAATAGAAAAAGAATTAATTCTTTTTCCTTTCCACAAAATACGTTTTTTTCTTTGTAAAAAAACAACAAGCTTTGTTTTCTTTTTTCAAAATTTTGTTTTTTTCACACATACACATATATATTTTTAATATCTTTTCTATTATTAAACAATCGGCTTCTCCTATTTATTCGTAAATTAAAAATTCTTTTATTTTCTATTTTATCTTTTTTGACAACAATTTTAATGGATTTTAATAAAATTTTTGTAATTAAAATGATGTCAAATACAACATGATTCAAATAATTTTAATTTATTCATAAAAATCTCTTTACATATCTCTAAACATACGTTTATAGATTTTTTTTAAGAATTTAGGCCTCATCTAGAAAGGCATAATTGTAACATAAAAATTATTCGTGAAATCATAAATTATATAATTTAATCAAATTTATATAATAATTTATATAATAAAATTTATATAATAATTAAAATCTTCTTAATTAATATCGTAAATTATTAAATTAAGAAGACTTGACCTAAACGAAAAAACGGAAAAGAATATTAAATATTTTTTCTATTCTTTGAAAAAAAGATGTAATTATATCTGAGCGGTTTACTAGTTGATTTTCTATAGACTAGTCATTTGACATTTTCATATAATTTCTTCAAGATCTCGCTTCTGTAAAACGAACTGCAATAGGTAACGAAAAAGAGAGAGCCGTAAAGGAATGAGGATAGGGAAAGGAGATATGTCATGTGAAAACGTCGCATCCCCACTCGACACTTCTGCGACATTCGTATATCATGCTGCGTTTCCTTCTTCGCGTTAATGACTTAACTGCCACTGTCGTTGATTAGCAATAATACGCTTGTCTCCTGACGTGCGGATATAATTCGACACAGCGCGCTAATTGACACTATGCGGGCTTTCATCGTGATTAGGACATCTTACACCACTCTCACTGGGAACTCGTCCTGCCTCATTCCTGCGCGATGGAGGACAACCGCGGGAGAAATTCCACGCGAATTGTCCTCGGTCGCACGTATACAATACAAGATGTTTACTATGAAGGTGCTGACTAAGAGAGGAAAATCTCAATTCGAAAATGAAACATATTAGAAAACTTTAAAAATATGCATCACAGAGATTTTGAAAAAAAAATTATTTTGTCTATTTATATTTCGAATATATAGTATCTTGTTATAATCCGCTTCATTTTTATCCACTTTATTGTTATCTAAATTTATATATATACACTCTACGATTTCAAATTTCTTTGAAATCAACTCAAAACACACTATTTATTATTTGCATTTTTTATTATTATCATTTTTAATATTCACAAACCAGAGGCCAATATAAAAATTTTGCAGAAAGAAAATTGCTTCTTTCGACAATTTTAATTTAAATTTCTTAAGTTTTCGAATTTGCGAATGGGAGATTTCTCCTCTCTCCTTAAATGTTCTAATACAACGATACAACGATACAACGATACTTTTGCTTATGCGGTGCCAATTACCATGAAATTGTGCAAAACATAATTACTGCATAATTAATCACTGATTGAATAGAAGGCTTTTGTTCTTCCTCCGTAGAGATGCGAAGCGAGGTGGGCGAATGGCTACCCACGTGCGTAGGTTCACCGATATGTATTCTGCTGTTGTCATGGTCCCTATTGATCTACCAGAATCAACCATCATCCGCGAAAAGAAGAATCGATGTGCTGACTGTCGCGATTCTCTCTCAAAGTCTCGCGCATCAATTAGGGTTGCTTCTGTACGCGATTCTCACCTTAATTCATCCAGCGAATCACTTTGGAGGTAACTAACAATAAAACTAATGAAGCAGATCTGCCCGACAAAAATTCCAATCGTAACTAATGGATTCGCGAGCATTAAATGACATTCTTCTCTCTGTTATCGCAGAATTATGCTCGACATTAGTATGGGTGCTAAATTCGTCGAGCATCCTCCAGGAGCTGACCCTGACGTCGATCGCCGTATTCGCGGCGATCAGCAGCCGCGACGACTCTATCAATCTCACCAAGAATCATCTCAAGTACCATCTCGTTAGCCTGAGCGTTATCAGCGCCTGCATCGGCGTCACTGGCGTCCTCAACTTCGAGCCGGAAGTCTGTGTCTTCCTAGCCCACGAGATCTCTTATAAATATGGGATCTTCGTCAATTCACTAAGGAGTCTGCTGGTCTTCACGTCTTTCTTTGCTGTGCTGATCGCACTCTTCAGGAACATCTGCCGATCGCCAACCTCCGAACTGCTCAAGTCAGTCTCGGACCTGTCCGAAGCGAGCTCGAAGAACTCCTCTGGCGCGTTCGAATGTCATCCGCAACATTGGGACCCCTCGAGCGGCTCGTGTACCAGCGGCTCGACCAACAGCAGGGCCTGTTTAAGGAAGAAGAAGGTGCAAGTGGACGAGGCGAGCGGCAGATCCACCGTCTACAGCATACTCTTCGTCTGCTACGTCTTCGAGCATTTACCCATCCTGGTAATTATTCCATCAATTGTTTCGATTTATTATTATTTATCATTTTTTTCGTTATTTTTTCAGTGAATTCTTTTAATGAATTCGATAGCGCAATCGTGACATCACGTTGCTAGCGTAAAATCAGTTTCCGCGCTACTGGATCGGCGATAAATTAAACTGATTGCACGCTATTAGCATAACACTCATATTTGTGCACGCTATTAATTGAATACTTCCCAAGAAAAGCGAAAAAATTGCATTATTATGTAAAGTGCTCCAAATTTTTTATTCTCTTTTTTGTTTTTTTTCTAACGAATTCTTTAATAATATAACTAATGATTTGAAAATTATATCGATAACTATTTTATATGTATATCGTGTATAAAAGAAAACTTTCTTATAAATTTATTAATAATTAAATAGAAAACGTGAGATACTGCTTTATATATACAAATAGTTGCTTACTCTTTCTATAAATATTAATGAGAAACATGTTTGCGGAAAATTGTTTCGATCATTAGCATAATCTCATTACGACTTAAGTCAAAGGTCTGAGCTGGGAAATCGATTTACATGAAAAATCGTAAATCGCCCAACGTTGTCGAGATCTTGGTCTGCGATTGGCTTAATTATTATTATTACTTTCAAATAGCGAGGTCTCGATAAATCAGCGACGGTAATTGTTAGTTCGCGGTTGAGAATTGTCGAAGGGATTTGAAAAAAAAAATGCGAAATATATTAAACATTCCGCAATCATGACTAGATGGAATTCTTTTTTTCGACTTGAAATCCTTTTTTTGCACGAGCGTTTCGGTCTAAAGGAGATATTTCGCAATATTTTCTTGAAATTATGTACGTCAAGCCAGCCGTAACAATGTTACATAGCTAAAGATGACCGAGATACCCAATTTATAGTGCCGTCCTCAATTATACTTTTCGGCAAAAAACAAGATATTTCGCAAGCTTTTTTCAGGATCTGCCACATTGTTGTTAAATTTTAAAATTGAATTTCACGTTTTCCGTCGTCGTTAGACATACGTTCAAATTTCGAGAAATATAAATTTCTTATATATAGATCAACCAACAATATCATATCTCGAACTAAAAATAAAAAATATCATAAAATTAAAATAAAGTATAAAAAAATTAAAATAAAATATCAAAAAATTAAAATAAAATAAAACAAATATTGTATCTTATATTTTACAAGTGTTTCTCTAAAAGCTTTGCGATTATCTTTCTTTTTACTCTCTGTGAGACAAATCGTCCCTGAAAGTTTCATCGTATCTCGAATCCGATGCGGTGCTCGAGCGAATTGTCCGGGGTCGCCTCGTCGCAGCAATTACATCAATACAATTACATCATAGCGAGGATTCTCGTGCTCGAGCGAGCGCGAACCGGATGCGAGCTCGTTCGAGCGCTATCCGGAAGCGAGAAAGAGGCCCTTCGCTCTCATAAATTCCGTTGTTCGAGAAAGTAAGCTCTCTCAGGAGCCAATTGAATGCAAAAAAGGGTCGGCTCGATACACATAAAGCAAAACTCGAAAACGCGATCTTAATTCGGACAACGACCTTAATCGCGCGCCGAATTAAGAATCGATCATTCCATAAAAGTCGTCCCACGGAAAGAAATCCTCCCATGACCTCTCTCATTAATATTAATGATCGCGGCTTTTACACGCACGACGCATACTATTTACATCGTGCGCAGAAATGATCCGATTAGATTACCATCAAGTAGGCGTATGCGATTTCGCGTAAAAAAAAAATCATGACACTTAAACTTTAAGGGCCTACTTTAAAGGATAAAAAAATTGATTGTGTTTTACATTTCTAAAAGTACGATGTATCAAAAATATGTCGATGAGATTAGGTCCAGCAATTCATAAATATCTTGCAGAATAAAAATGAACTGACTTTATTAATTTCAGACTATTAAAAGCTGTATATCACATTATGCATTTTCAGCGAACAAAAAAATTAAATATTTATAATTTAAAAATATTAACGTATTATTGTAAAACATCAAAAACAGCAAAAAAGAGCAAAATCAATATTTTAAAAAAAGTTTCTAAAAAATCATGAATTTTTCATGCTGTTAGACTAGACTTCAAAATCGAAACACGTCCGATGCATTATTCATTTCAATCCGTCGCCAATAAATACATAGTATCTCATAGTAAGGATTTTATGAATCATCGCGTTTTTCCGATTGACGAGGTAAACGGTTATGTAACAAAACAATTCGCCGCATAAGCTCTTGCTCACGTAGCTCGACTCGTCGAGAAATAATCATCGGTGAACACCGTTCGTCGAAATAAACACCGTTCTCCGTGTGCAAACAGCGTGACGAGGCCGTTACACTCGTTTGTGCTTTCGTCTAACTTATTAAATCAAAATCGCCGATGTAGAGATTTTAATTACAAAGTCGCGTAAAAAAATATCGGCGAAATTAATGAAGTTTCTTTTGGCATCCTTTTTATAGATCATTTTAAATGTAGATTTTATCTATTATTCAAAATAAAATTAGCAATATTATTGAGAAAGCTAATGATTTCTCGCATATTAGGCAATTTATTATTATCGAGGTTCCAAATCGATCCAAATCGGCACCAATCGGACTTTTAAGCAGACACGAGGAACGTGTTTGGCGTTTCATTCGCGTTTTCTAACGGCAATTAAAGTAAAACACTTGTTCGAAATTCAGCGCGAGTTAGCATGACTAAAATCAGCGATGGAGAAACTCGTAGATCGGTAAAACGAGGAATAAATTGCAAAAAGAAAGAACGAAAAAGAAGAAAAAAAATATAACGTTTATTAAATAATATTTTTGAAATGAAAATAAATTTATTATAGCAGAATGCAAGATTAAAGTAAAAAATTAAAGAAATTAAAACACATAGCGAAATAAATATATTTAATAAGAAAATAAATAATATAAGAAGATGTAATAAAGTCCTATTGCATTAAATGAATTTTGAAATCATAAAATGGATATTTTTAATGAAATCTTTAATTTTTAATTTTTTTTCCTACCGCTATTTCCCAATGTTTTTTTATGAAGTTACACCGCATAATATGTAATAATTATCACATAAGTTTTAGTGAAAAAAATTCACCCGCATTTATATAAGAATCAAGGAAATTGATCGAAAGAAGTGAAATATGACAGAAAATTTTATAAAATGGATAATTTTAAATTCTTCACAGCATTATTTCTCGATACTTCAAAGTCTAACAAAGTGTTACATTGCGTAATATATATAGTAATTATTGGATTGTGAGACATGAGTTTTTGCGAAAAGTAATTTCATGCGCGTACGAATCGATAAAAATCAAGAGAATTAATCAAAAGAAGTGAAATATAACAGAAAATTTATGGTTGTGGCAACTAATGCGCGCCAATCGAAGCGAGATATATATAATTCGAGGGAAGGAGAAAGAGAGAGAGACAGAGACGGGGTCGAGAGTTGCGCGCGTGCACCTTACACATATAATGTACGATACGCGTGCACGGGGCGTATTATATAGAGAGTGCCGCTCTATTCTCTAATTAAGGTATATACAACTAGTTTCGATTTCATATCACGGATCAGACCGGCCGTTACTCACGTAACCAAGTACTACCGCATGTTATACTATTCGCGCGGGCGAGAGGAAAATATACAGTGCGAGGCAAAAGCGCGATTATACTGAAAGAAAGGCCTTGTTGTTCGATAATTAACGATAATTTAATTATCACGGATTAGGAATTTGTCCGAAATAGAGTAGGCACATGTAAAGGCGTGTGATTATTTACGCGAATAGATTACTTTGAAAGCGAAACGCTTTCCAATCTAGAAAATCTACAAATATTCTAATCTCCTTTCGTGCAATTATTTATACATTCTAAAAATTTATGTGTGAATATAATTCACAAGTTAAATTTATTTATTACAATATTTTATTAAAATTAATGAGTGCATACATAAATTTATGAGTCTAGTCTATTCTAACAGTATGAAAAATTAATTTTTAAGAATTTTTTTGAAGGATATGAAAAGTCGATCTCAAGAATGGCATTTTAATGATGCTTAAACAATATGTCAATATTTTTAAATCTTACATTTAGCTTTCTTTTTGTTCATTTAATGTGTTCGAAAGTGCACAGTTTGATAGCATGATATATACTACTTTTTGCATAATTGCTGAAAATGAATAAACACAGTCTAATTTTATTTTGCAAGATATTTTTATAGATTGAATCTAATTTTATTAGAAAAAATTGAAAAAATAACAAAGTAATTTGAATATTTCAATTTTGTTGAAATTTTCTTCCTCAAGATCAGAAAAATATTATATAATTATTAATTTTTTAAGTTTAACTTAGATTCTCTAAAAATCTTTTTTATTTAAAAAAAGTTAAAGTTTTCAAGATATTTGTTTTTAAAAAGTTAAAGTTCTCGAGATATTTGTTACACTAACTTTAAAAACAGAACTCTAAGAAAATGTGAAAAAAGAAAAGTCGTTTTTTTTATTCTCTAAAGTAAATCTGAGCTCTTAATAGAATGTGATAGCTTTATAATTATGTAAACTTAACATTTAGTTAATTATGACAAATGAAATATTATCTTTTAACGTCAAACTTGCTGTTAATTATTTGAAAATAAGACGTTGAAAATAAGAATGCACAGTTTAAAAAATTTCCATATATACATTTTAATTATTGTAATGCAGAAGTTTTGAGAGTAATGAGAGAAGTTTTCTCTTAAAATCATGTGACAAGAACGTATACTGATAATTTAACCAACGTTCATATATTACCAATCGTTTACGTACTTTTGAACAACGTTGTAATAACCGACAAAATGGCGCGACTCGCGTACCTACACGTGCGTGTGCAGCTCACGTAAAATTGCGTATCGTGCTCGTACTTTTGAAAGCGCGACCGCGGGTGTTTTCACCATGCGAAAAAAAAATTCACGACTAAAATTGAAAGTTATTTTTTTATATTTCTTCTCTTAATTCGCTTTTACGACGAGTAGCCTGGCACGACAAAATTTTTCAAGTGCGTCTTGCGATTTTTTTTGCACGCGTATCGTACAATTAGTCGCGCATAATTGACCTAATTCGAACATTCGACGTATATACGCGATTAGGATCCTTCCGCGGCGAAAGCTAGACCCGATTTCTGCATACACAGTGTCTTCTCTTGACACAATTTCTGGTGAAATTTATTAGCGCGAGGAAAAAGCCCGTCGCGATATCTTCAAATACTGCATTACGTTGCATTAAATGATCGCAACTAGAAATGTAAATAGAAAAAAATACAAAATATGACTTTTGTGAAAAAAAACAGTAAGCTGCATTGTTTTCAAAATTTTGTTTTCTTTCTTTGATTTTTTTTCTAATATTTAATATTTTCATATTTTGATTATTGCAAATTGCTTTTTCATCATTTTTAATTTTTTAGATGATTGATTTGAACTGAATCATCGCTATTTTTAAATATAGATTGCATTCCAATTGACTACATAGTTTGTAATTACTATTTTTAATTAGATAAATTCTCAATTTCTCTAAAAACAAATCACAATTGAATTGAAATAAATTGATTTTATTATAGATATAAAAACAGTTTATAATTTTTACAAATTTTCACTATTCTAATATAATAAGAAATTAATAATTAAAGTAATATTAAAAAATATATAAAGAAAAATATTATATGAAAATGCAAAGTAATGAAAAAAAATTAAATTTGTTTTTTTTTTCAATGAGAAAAGCATGTTTTTTCAACCTTTATTTTTTATTAGAAAAAATAGCTTTTTTTTACATTTCTACTCGCTACATAAATATTGCCAAGATACCGTTTTCTATGATATATATACTCAACTACTATATAATAGCAACATTAATGATTATCGCGCTCGATAGGCGTCATTAAACATTTCAGCGATGATCAAGATATTATACTGTTCTATAATGTTTATATTTAATCTATGCTCTATAATATTTAAGTCGATCAAGATATTATAATATGTTATAATGTCTATATATGATACACGTAATTACATTATATTATCAAATTAATGAGTGTATGTGAATTTGATCCAGAATTATCTTTATATGAAATTAATTAAAGGAATATGAAATTAATTAGACGACACAACTTCCTAGATTATCTCCATCAGACCGAGTCTCTTGAAGAACTTTTGTACGCCCCAGAATCTGACGACGTGGCTGCCGTTGATGAAGGACACCTTGCTTCCAGTTTTCTTAGCTCTCTTCGACAAAATGTTCTGCCGATACGTGGCCAAGGTGTACACGAAACAGGATCACGTGAGAAGACTATCGCACGGTGCGTGTTATTTTTCCTTTTTCTTTTTCTTCGCCATCGCGGAAGCAGAAACAAACTCTGTCGCGTTTCATAATATGCACGGGGATACTACGACTTCCATTCTTTCGTTTAAGCAAACAACACAACTGACCCATGTGTGGGAAAGCAAAATGCCCACCATGTAATAATCGTGGTTCCTGCCTGGCAATTTTTCTCGTTAACGACGCGCGTTCGAGCGATTCGCTCGGTATGTGTTTTCGTTTTGCTGCAGCGATTTACGCGATTTCACGTATAATTCTCTCACAATCCGCAAATCGGGTCGGAGAATTTTCTTTATTGAATCAACGTGACTTTGTGCGTTTCTCGCAACACTTTCTGATTTTCCGGTCTAAATTAATGCTAATGATATCGAAAAGTAAAATCTATTGAAATCTAGCGAAACAATTTCAGTAGTTGTTTTAATATTGAATTTTTAATAAAATTACACTTTTTATTTTCTCAGTTTTATTTATTCAACTTTTTCTTTGTTGCAATCGAAAAAGATCTCAGAGGCACGAGATATCATGACTAGTCTTAATTTGTTTCGAAATTCGAGATAAAACAAGATTTTTAATTGATTATCATGATAATATCTAAACTAATAGGTCTATTCTGTAAAAATGCTCTATAACGCTGTATCTCTATAAGCTATGTAGCAGTGTAGAGTAAAAAAGAAAGAGCGAAGAGCGAAAAAAAGAAAGAGCTAAAGAGCTACAGAGTTACAGAGCTTACAGAGCGAAAATTTTCTTACCGAATAACACGACTAAGATTGTTAAGATTATTGATTTTAAAAAAAAGCTAAAATATATATTTATAAATTAAATAAGAAAAAACTCACACTATACAAACACACTTGAAAAATTTTATTTTAATAAATAAAAAAACCTTCATATAGCAAATTTAAAAACAATTAATATCGTGCAATCGTAATCCAAATTTTTAACGAAATTTCCATGGAATTTCTCTTTCAGGCGGTGTAGACGGTAAATTTCGACATTTTGAGCAGGACACTGAATACAAGTTGCAGTTGAATCTGAATCACGGGCTAAAGTTCCCCTTGACCAACGGAAGCCTCTATGGACGGTTGCACAGCCATCAGAATAGAGGTGAGCGAACAAGCGGATGTCAGCGGGATTTAACGACGCTTAAAATGTTTCGATAGTTTTCCCTCCTGGCTTATATTGTTAATTGTGGTGTTTCGCGCTGTTTCATTAATGCTCGTCGAGCGCCTCGACACGTTAGAAAGTCTGAGGGAAACCATCTCTCGCGCTCGTAACCACGTCTCTAATCCACCACCAGTCGAATACATGGGATATTATCGGGTGACCGTAACGTGAAAATGTCTCGATATCCCCGAAAGCGCTACTTTCATGAACCGTGTGTGACAGTTTCCCTTCCATTACTATTGACAAGTCAAATGTGTCAAACGCGATGTCGATGAAAATATTCGCGATCGTAATCGATCTTATTCGCAGGCAAAACCAGCACGATGAACATGGGAATTCAGCAGCACTATCCCAGGACGCAGCCCGCGAACGAGGACAGCAACTACGCGTCTTTGCCGGCGGAATTGTCGTCCTTCACGAGTTCTACCTTTGAACCATGTCAGGATAAAATTCCCGAGCCAGGTTCGTCGAAGAGGAACTCCAACGCGGAATCGCAGCAACAGCACAGACGACCGAGACCGAACGAGAGTTTGCGCGAGTTCACCGGTAATCGTAGAAAGATCGGCAGCACCGACGTCTTTGGACAGAACATGGAGAACCTAGTGCAGCTGGAAGACCCCACGAGCAACTGGAAGCATCAAATCACCAAGGATGAGATTCGCGAGGAGTCGTTCAGACGACACGCGAAGAGCGTCCTTGGTCTAGAGAGTCTGATTGTCGGGCTGGAGAACGGCCTCCAGGAGCATTATCCTAGAAACCTTCTTCGCAGGAATCAAAGCTTCGACCATGCCAGGTATCTACCCCTTTCGAACCGATGGACTTTGCTCGCTCGCAAAGTACACCTTTCGGCGTACACCTTCACTTTTACCGGTGCCATTAAGCCGTCGTCACGATGTACGGCAGGAGCGCAAAGTGGAAAGTGAGACGCCAAGTTTCTTATAAATTATTCAAAATGCGCGTTTCGACGTGCATCATACACATGGCATGACCTACATTCACAAGTCAAGCAGCCTTTCTTTCATCATTTCTAATATGTAAGATAAACATCAGAATATATTCGTCGACATATGTTTGATTGATTCTATATCACTTACATTATTTAATATACATAGTTCCTAACATATTTTATAAATATAATAAATATGCGACTCGCATATGTATTAAAGACCTAATTTACATTATTAATAGTACGAAAAATCGGTGATTTTTAGGAACTTTTTTGAAAAATATTAAAAATTAATATTTCTTTTGTAATATTATATATGTAATATTATGTATGCTTACGTATGTTTAAATATATTTTTATTGGTATTTAAACAATACGTCAGTATTAAAAAATTTTAGATATATAGCTTTTTTTATTCATTAAACGTGTTCAAAAATACATAATGCAATGATGTAACATGCTGCTTCTCATATAATTGTATGAAGTGAATAAAGTAGTCTAATTTGATTAGGATACTGATGAAAAATATTGAATCTAGCTTTAGAGAAAATTGAAAAGTAACAAAATAGAATTATATTTCAAAATTAGATATTTTAATTTTGCTGAAATTTTTATTTTATTTCTTAAAGATCCGAAAAATATTAATTATTAACTTTTTAAATCTCGAGTTCAATATCTCTAAAAGTTGTTTCATTTAAAAACAAAATTGAAGTTTGATTCATTAATTTTCAAGATATCTACCGCAAAATAATATTTTGAGAAAAATACTTTAAACGTGCGTTTTGCTTGCGCACCATCCTATTCAAAGTCTTACAACTCCATCAATTTTGCGAATTTTTCAGTAAGATTTGAAAGACATATTCTTCGGATATTATATACTTTTAGAAAATATGAAAAATCTTTAAAGTAGATTTTTAATAATTCTAATATTTATTATAACACCTGCTTAGATATCACCGACCTATACTCGACACGAGGACTTACAATCTAAAAAAGAGCGATCAAGTGAGAGAGAATCTTCAACAGAACCTCCTTCAAGGACGAGATAGTCAGGGACATTGCGATGGATACGACAGCTCCGACGACGAGAGTTGTGATTTGGAGAACGGTGATTTTGATACCATGAGCTCCTGTAGAAGCAGAAGCAGGAGCTGTTGTTCCGTTACCACAGTCGCCAATGATGATTTCGAATATTTCCAACGTAAAGGAACTAAGGTAATATTTATATGATTGAATCTCTTATATCTCTCTCTGTAAATTTTCAACAAAATTTCTAGCAATTTTGAAATTAATTAAATATGACATCATTTTTATTCGGCGCGATTTGCCTGTTTTTTCCATTTTAGTTTCCGCGAGAAAAATAATCATTGAAATAACTATTTCGTGGTTTGTTCTAATGTCAAATGCGAGAGGATACAAAGTAAGCCATAGGCACTTTCACAGCGAGATAGAGAAAAATGCTCATCGCGCTGACATAGCGTTTCGTCGGCCTTTACGCGACGATAAAGGTGCGCGTTACTTACGTAATCCCGCAAGAATCGTGAGAACGTCCTGGTTCGCAGGTGGAGCTACTGCCCTCGAAGCGTGCCAGCGGGGAAGTAAAGGTCAACATGCGATCTTTCACGCCACGTATCATAGAGAACGGCGTCGAGGATCGGGAGGAGAGCAAGAAACGCGTCGGCAACGCGAGACTGGTCGATATCAAACCTAGCATACAGTCCTATCAACTGAAGACTAAGAGGATCGGGCCCGGTTACTCGATGAACGACCTGGATAAACTGACCGCCATCAAGAAATTGCCGAATCTTTCGATGGAGAGCCTGAAGAGCATCCTGAAGAACTCGGACGTGAGCTATCTCGACAACGGCGACATATGCAAGCACGACATCGGCGGCTCGGCCCCCGATTTCAAGAAGATTTTTGTCTCTGAATTCATATGAGATCCATTGTAACGTAAAACGTTCAGAAAGACTGCATCATTTGTCTTTGTGATATAGCAGCGACATGTTCGTAAATTATCGAAAAAATCTCGCCCACTGCGACCGGTAAACGTTATCGTCCTCAACATTCGGAGCAGGAAGTACTCTCGTTATGTATGCGTGTGTGTGTGTGTGTGTGTGTGTGTGTGTGTATGAGTATGTGCGAATTTAAAAGTGTCATAATGTAATAGAATTCTAAAATTCTTGAATTAAAACACACACATTTAAATTCCTATCACGATCTTAATTCATTAATATAATAGAGAAAATAATCAATATTAAGATATGAATATTAAGATGAATATTAAGATTCTAGTCTACGGTAGAAAGTCAAAAAATGTATTTTTCATTTTCTCAAAAAATGATCTGGAGAATGTCAAATTTTATTTAAAAATTATGGAATTATAAGACTTTGAAGCCGTTCTTTAAATAGATCTGCGAAACTTTAAACGCGTTTTCTCAAATTGTTTTTAAATTTGATGTGATGGATCGAATAATTTCAATTTTTTTAAATAAAAGAGAACACTTTTTGAGAATATTGAATCTGATTAATATTTAATGTGACCTGATTAATATTTAATATTTTTCTCACCTTCAAAAAAATAAAAAAATTTCAGCAAAATTGAAACATCTAATTTTTAATCTAATCGTCAATTTCTACGGTAGACTGGATTCTTAATGTAATAGAGAAAATGATTGATATGAAATATTATTAATAGCCAATGCGCATGTTTTCAAAAAACTGTCCTCTTTTTATTTTTGTAATATGAAATTTAAATTTTATACGTAAACATGTTTTTCTAAACGTATCGTATTTTCTGCCTCACGAATTATTCATTCTAAGCTGTCATCGATGATTTACGGACTAACATAAATGTAATTACCCGTAGACGCTCGCACGCACACAGTGTGTTTTTTGTATAAAGGCTACTGTAAAATATGTAATGGATTTGTTTTTCGGACGGGAAGTCGATTATACGAATGTAACTTGTACATATTTTGTATATTTGTATCGTAATATTTAATGTAGCGATTATGTGAGTATACAATTATATGAGCGTCGCAAAAAAGTGGCGATCGAATTGTATATAAATTAATTGCAAATATATTTTACTTCTGGGTTTAATGCGTTAAAAAAAAGTTTCAGCAGTTTGTCTCTTCATCTCATTTGACACGCCAGAACTTAAAAAAAGTTGACAAAGTATAAAAAAAAACTTTTATATCTCAAGTTTCTGTCACACCTAATCCGACATTTAATATCTTTGCTTGAAGATGTGCCAAAGGAAATTCAAGCTTATCACGATCGGTAACAGGATACATCACTGAAAGTCGGGATAAATATGTATGCAATTTATTCTTAGTTAAATTTATTCAATTTATTTCTCTTCGTAAATTTTAAGAGACTGGGTATATTTACATATCGTTCGATTATGTCTTAATCTCTCGTCTTGATTACCGACAATGTAATCATTTTATGTTTACATGATTAATTAACTTTGGTCTCTTTCGCGTTTCTCTCATTTTTTATCACACGTAATGAGTGTTACTGGCAAGATCGAGCATGAGCTCATGTGATAGATTACAGACACGCCCTCCATCATCTGTCACGTGATAGAGCCGTAATCATAATCGCCATTGCTTAATTAAATCTATCCTATTTTATATGCGATTTATTATGCATACATTGACTAGTAATACACGATTTGGCATTATTGATCGTATCTCTATTTAACGATTGCGTTAATCAGTGGCGTAGAAACGCGGCGGATTCGCTCACATTCGCGAATTGTGAATCGCATAATCAGACGTCGGGAATTTTTCTTTTTTTTCGGAAATTGGACAATCGTAAAAATTTCTAGCGATTTTTTTAGATTTTGAAAGATTCACATCTCGAGGACATTTTCACTCTGTCTTTCATTTTCCTCGCCATTTTTATGTTTGCTTCCATTATATAGTAATATTATATAGTAATTTAGCTTCATTTCTATTCGAAAATATATCAGATATAGAATAGCCCGTTCGATTTGTTAATACAATTTAGATTTGAACGTTAATGAGAATATTAATGAGTATTAATGAGTTAATGAGAGCATGTGCCTTGCAAAGACTTGGCTTTGTTTGTTCTTGTCCAAGGACACCCGTATATATGTAATGATACGTTTTACATATAAGCATTTGCCTTCCGGAACCACAATAAATTCTCCTCGCACTAAAAGTCTAAAAATAGTGCGCTCGCGACGTCAAACTATGATACACAGCCACATTTTACTCGCGTTAAACTGCGCTTTTACAACCTACTCTCTACGTCATCACATAATAACGATTTTTATTACATTGAAAATAATAAAACATAGCTTTGCGTAAACATCCATTTACGGTAAATTTAATTGAAAGTCTAATCTATTTTAGAGAATACAAAAATTCAATTTTTTTAATATTTTCTGAAAATATGTTTAGAGAATTTTTGAAAATATGATTTTTTTTCGAGTTTTATTGAAAAATTTCCAAAATTGACAAAGTTATAAGACTTTGAAGCTCGGGTCTTCAAATAGATGTGCAAAAATTTAAATTTATTGGACAAAAAAAGCTAAATAGCCATGATTTAAAAATATTGACGTACTCTATAACATTAATAGAAATATAAAAGAATAGAAATATATAAATAGAAATAAAATCGCAAAAAGATAGATCAATTTCTAATAGTCTTCTAAAAATATTTCTGAAAATCATCAATTTTTCATATTCCTAGAATAGATTGGACTCTTGATATATTAATCTTTGAACGACAATTGATTGCAAGAATAATCGTTCTCTTCTAATGAATCTAGCAACTATTAATCCTTTATAGAGGTCCATAAAATAATTTCTTATAATCTATCATTATATTTCATTCTATAAAGGATCAATATAAATATCATCTTCGTAAAACTTGCAAAAATATTGAAATGCTCAAACACGAGAAGATTCAAGGTTGATATGTTTCTTCTCGATCTTTGCGAGATCACGCAAGTTTTACGTCATTGTGACTTTATACTGGCACTTTGGTGTTGATCGACAGAATTGCACGAGATATTCGATTAATCCGTCGATCAATGACTGGCATAGAGATCGCTACCGCGAAAGATCGCCTCGATCAGGGACTTCCGATTGAATTCGCCGCCCTGGGACTCCATCGCGGCTACCAGTCGCTGATATCGCTTCCAGGCGGTGACCGATGCCACTTCCTTTTCCGCTCGGTCCTTGATCTTTTCATACGTATCGCCGCTGGTGTTAACCGCAGTCTCGGAAGTTTGACACACTGCTTCTGTATCCGGTATCATCTGCAAAGCCCGCGAACGAATGATTGTTTTGTCGAGATTTTTCGACGTAAAATTACGTGTGCGTTGTTTTATTATAATTTCAAAAATCCTAGAAAGGTTGTTGGATTTTTCCATAAATTTTTTAAATAAATATAATTAATTTTTAATTAATTATATATAATTAATTTTTACTAATTTATAATAAACAATAATTAAATTGTTGACTTTAGGAGCAACAAATAACATTGCAATTAATTTATAAGAGACAAAACGTGAGAAAAATTTATTAGTAAAAGATTTACTTTGTATTCTTCAATGGCGTGTGTTTTAATTATACCAGATTAGCTTGCCAATCGTGTGGAAGAAAATTCCAAAGGGGGTTTATATGTATATCGAGTGTGACCGATGTTTGTAGAATGTGTTGTAGACACATGTAACGCTACCCTAAACCTTGTGTCTGAAATCAATACTCGAACGACATTACACTGTTACTAAGGATGCCCATCCCCATCGTCAGATTTTGCGTCACCCCTGCGTCACTTTAATCAACGCAGAGTTCAACGATCTAACACGACCCAATCGCGAAATCGCAATCGGATTATTTTCCATTTTATTGCAAATACTTATTCTTTTTTTTACCTACATATTTAATTTTAGATTATCAACTATTCACTTATATACAATCAATTATAATTAATTATAATAACTAATTAATTGATATAGATGAATAAAATGTAAATAATACCTGGGATCGTAAAACGAACAAATATAACTAATAAATATATCAGCTAAAAAATAATGAGCTAAAATTGTTGGCTTTATTCATCAATAGATAAAATAAAGTTACTTGTATCGAATACTGTGAACCCAACTTGATATCTCGCCAAGGAGTGAAAAAATCTATTGCCCATTATCCTCGAACACCCGTTATCCAATTAATCCGTCCCGTTAATTAACTAACGGGATGGTAAAACATTCGCTTCGCGTTCGTAATCATCCTCTCACCTTTGCTTACCTCCGCCTCGATTTCCGCAGGCTCTTCGCGATCCCGCGGCCCAAGAAGGTCCAAGAAGTCGCTGGGTGTGCGTTGTTTGGACCTCCGCGAGATTCCGATGATGTCCGACCGGATTTGGCCAGCGGGACGTGTGCGCAATCCGGGCTGGCGCGTGGTCCAACAGTAACTGAGGAAGCCCGACCAACGCGTCGACCATCAGCTGGATCCCCGCGATGACTTTTCCCCCCTCTGGCCTTCCGTGCCAGGAACCTACGTACATATGTGGCCTCCACGTATGGGAGGGGGACGGCGGAGGGGGTGTGCTGGGTGACAACCGAAGGGTATCCACCTCTTTCATTCTCTTCCGTTGTCCCCTCGTCGCAGACGCGATTCGCGGGGATCCTATTTTCGACTTCCGGTTCGGTTGAATTTTCTGTTCGGCGAGATATCGGCTTCGAGATTCCGATATTTAACGGAGCGCTCGTTGAATAGCTTTCGATCGATGCACGTTTACGAGTCAGTTTATGCGCATTACAGGATTATTATAGCCGTCGTTTCTCCGTGTCGTGCAATCATGTTTCAGTGAAGAGATATATGTATAATCAAGCTCAATTGTGTAACCATCTATTCAACATAACGTCACGAACGATCTCTTTGAATTGCAAATGTGTTTGACGGAGAAATTAATTTCTTTATTACTTATGATCGTTGGTTTGACTCTGCATTTCTAAGTAATAGAATTGCATCACAATCGATCTAAAATATAGATAACATGAAACTAAAATTTTAACATTATTTTTATATAAAAAAAGAAAAAAAAGAACTTTTATATATCAACTTTAAATTATATTCAAATTGTATAATTCAGAATAAATAAAATTCACAAACAAGACTTCTAATATTTTTACAAAAACCGTGTATAAAAAGAGAAAGGAATAATCGAGTACAGACACCACGCATGATATTAAATATAAATAAATAACAATTATCGGGCGAGATACTTTCATTCTTTATCAAGCGGAATTAATTTCTCTAGGATACGGGCGATTTCAAAGAAAGACAGGGACAGATCTTTAATATTTCTCACGTATACGGGGATGTTTTTTGTGGACAGAAATTGTGACAATAATAGGCAGAGTCTTAAGTGACGCGTATTTAGTTAAAGACTACATATTTCGTGGCGGTCTCAATTCTCGTTGAAGACAAGAAAAAGCCAAGCGAGCCACGTTGGCGGTCCATTGTAGCAACGTCGGGGGAATCGAGTAAATTGGCTGAATTGGCTCGTCCGTGAACCGACCGCGGCGACTGACAGATGCAGATGCGCGATAGATCCCGCATTACGTAATCATAATATTTCATGATATCGCTGGAAATTGACAAGGAATTCAACGAATTGAATTTTAAACTGATAAAACGAGAAAATAAATATTATTATATTGTATAAATATTAGATTTTTTTGTGAAATTCAATTCATTGAATCCAATTTGTTGGTTTTTTGACATCATAAAATATTAAAATTATATCATTATGTTTAAACTATGCAATATAATGGAAACATCTTCGATAAACTGTATTTCATAGATTTATTAATATAGATGATATGTTAAATATGGTTTACAAACTTTTACTTTTACATTTTAAGACTTCTTAATGTGAAAACTTCGAAATACTACAAAATGTTATATATTAAATATATAATATTTGCAAAAGTAATAATTAATTTTGAGAATGTGCATTTTTATTTTCTTTATATATCTTCTACAAATATACTTTTATTCGTACCTTAAAAATGAAGAATTTTAAAGAAAAGAAAATGAAATTAATTGCACATAATTCAAGTAAAGTCGCGATTTATATAATGTGGGATGCATGCGATAAAATTTATTAATAGCAACTCGAAGAGTTCGCTCCGGCTAATGCAAAAAATTGTCTCGGTAGCTGAAGCAGCGAAAAAAGTTTGTGCGCCACCGCACAGCTGGTTGCAGCATGCCGTGGATCAAGAGGATGGAGAAGATATTAAAAAAAAGTTCCATCTTTCCTTGCGTATAATAAACGACCGTTGTTTTGCGCATCTGCTAGCGAGAGAGAGAAAGAGAGAGAGAGAGAGAGAGAGAAAGAAGGAGACACATTGAGGCTAGTGCAATTGATGAGAAAACGTTGCAAATTTTTTGATAAACTATCCAATAAAATTGTACGAAATATTATAATAATAAAAAGCTTGATAATGAAAATTTAATCGACTTAGAGAGAAGCGATGTGTTAATTCTTTTCGAGTCGTAAAGAGATGTCGCAAGATAAAAGGAAGAATTATATAAAAGCTCAATTCTCCTTTTGTCCGATAAAATCGAACATCGAATTGATACCTCCGCGTGGAAAATTGATCCTTCAAAATCCCGCCAGATGCAGAGACCTAATAGCCAATCGGCACGCATTGTCTCGCCGAGGGCGCGTGCACCCATAAACGACATCACTTTTACAGCTGCCGGAAGTATACATCTGCTAACGCGGAATTTACTAACGGTGTGGACGAGACTGGGCAAAGGAGATTCGCTACATCTACTCGTTTCACTAATTTTATACAATCATAGAGAAGGAGGGAATCGTGCTAATGAGCCGTGTTTCACTCGTCGAGACAAATAATAATCGGGATAGTTGATTAAAATTGGAAAAAAGCGTAGAGACCCTTGCACGTGGCGAGGCCCACCTTTATTTTCGAAAAGTAGCGGCAGCTGTCCGGAAGAAACGATCGCGGCTCGTGCTGAACACCTTTCGTCTACGAGAATCCTCGTGGATCTCAGAAGGACTTCGAAGATCGTTAGATGTAAAAATTTGTATAACAGTTAATCAGTAATCATTAAAAATGATTTGTAAATAGAAAAAAAAGATAAATCTTTCTTCTTTTCAAAAATACAATCTTTTCTAAAAAAGAAGATCAAGCTTCGATTTTTTTATTGTTTTTTTTTCTTTTTCAAATATTTAACATCTTCGTATTTCGATTATTGCAAGCTGATTTTTCGTTTTTAATTTTTTATATGATAGATTTAAATTTAATTAATATTTTGAATGTAAATCACATTCCAATTACAAGCTATAGTTACGTAATTAATATTTTTGATTAGGTATCCAATATTGTAACAATGATTAATTTAAAAAAATATTGATTGTAAAGATGTCGATTTATCACAACGTACACAGATTGCAATTGGATTTTCTATATTTTTATGTAACTCTAGATAAGCAAGATAACATTTCGCTGGCAATTGATTAATATTCAGTTTAAATACGATTATCGGATCCAGGTATAAATTATCGTGTTCTTTATCTGAATTTACTCTTCAGATTTAAATGTTGTAAAAGGCACATTTGGAAAGATAGAAATGGGGAAGAGCGATACATATGCCGCTCTTGGAATTATCTTCGTCACTTACAGCTGAAATATGTAATCTCGTTGCGTTATTAAAACAGCAATCAAGTTTCACGGACGGAAAAATCGCAACAATGCGTGCGTGAGTGCGTGCGTGCGTGCGGCACGCGTATGGCATTTTGTTTAAAATGCACCTTCGTTATCTATCGCATTTGCATGTATAATTCACTTCTCAACTTGTCGCTGTAAATGAAGCTCGCAGATATGTGTCTTTGATAAAGAAGACATCTTATCGGCTGATAAATAATTCTTTCGCTTCCATGCGAATTATTCTCGCTTTATCAAATTCACATTGCTGCTAAGGTGAAACAGTATGGTTAAAAGGACGAAGAGGAAAGAAAAATGATTATTATTCGAAAAAAGATAATATTTTATCATTTTCTCGCGATATACATTAAATAATCAAAATAAATTAATTAATATTGAAATAATTAATAAAATGTGTATACGTCTTGTGTATATGTCTTTACTCAAATTTTATAAAAAATCCCCTGAAAGATTTTTCTGAATTTCTTCATCTTTCAAGTATCTTTCAAAATTTCAGATAAAGACAACATTTTAAAAACTTTTTGATGCAACTTTTTAAAATAAATTTTCAAAATCATCAAAGAGAGAATTTTTTAAATTCTCTGAATCCAATAAAATTCCATAAGAATTCCCTGATTTTTGCAGATTCACAAGAAATCTCTAAAAATTCTATATTTTTTTTCCAGAAAATAAACATCCTATATACTTAGCAGAGAGTTTCAGTGCTATTCACACATTAAGTCGCATGGAATCGTAATAATTTCACCTGAGAAAACAGTCATTTAGCATATAAACATTCTCTTCATGGATCAAACTATGGTACATCGCTCTTTTATTCTCGTGGAGAGTTTACTTTTCACACTTATCGTCAGCATTATGTTTCAGGGTATCGACACGTCAATTTTCTTCACGATCAATGTGATCTTCGGAATGCAATCTCGCCGACCCGGCCACCGGCCCGAGCGCAATGTCCTCTCTCAACCCTTTTTTCGTATTCTCACCCCCGCAGCTGACGAGCTGACGGGATACCACCTGACGGTTACCACCCGGGACAGCTGTTCTCTCCCCTTGGCGGGGCCCGCGTGCACCATCTTCCCTCCTCCATCGTTCCGCGCGCTGGCCCATGCGCGTTCAAAAAACCGAGACGATTTCATGTGGTAAAGAAAAAGGTCAAAAAACCGCAGCCGTCGTCCTGCCGAACGGCAGGATGTTCCATGATGGAGACGAAAGGAGAGTCGCAATCGTCGACGATGTAATGGAAAGTAAACCCTTGTGAAATTTTTAAAGAACAGGATAATGTCTAATGGTCCTAATACCTAGTTAATTAAATTATCAGACACATTTTACAATAGGAAACGTTTGTTTAGGACTTCGCTTTGGATCAACCCCGGTTGTCTCCCCTTCAAGACATGGCCAAGTCTTTCTCCCTCGATCGCGGGCGGCCAGGAGATCGGCGAATGCGTTTCGAGGATCGCGCGAGACGCAAGTAAGAAAGAAAGCGCATAGATTCTCTTGGTAACAGCAGTCGGCGGGCTGCTTGCCCCCCGGCTTATTTTTCGCTGGACGCGAACGTCGAAGACAACAAAAGTACCTCGACGGAGCAGATGCATGGCATGTGCTACGAACCGACACCAGATGCCCCATTGGCGTAGGGAGATCCCTCCGGACGACCCCGATAAAGGTGTTTCTTTTAAGTTAGTCGCGTGCCATATATTCACGATTTCGTTTGTACGTACGATCCCCTCCTTCGGGCCTCGACGCATCAGGCTTCGAGAATGTCGGGAACAGACTTTCTTAGCACTTTACCGCATAATCATCTTTGGATTTCTCTATTGCATATACTATTGATTAATGTTCTCAAACGTTATAAAACATGCGTCATACATCGTTTCGTGACAAATTGGCAGCATTCTGTCCAACATTGAGAAAAATAGAGTCAAATATATATATCGTTGATGCGTTAATTTTTTTCAAAACCTCTTCCATTTTATTATAAAAAATGTTACATTTATATTTCATCATGTGAACGCGAAATGTGCATGTATACGTTCGGTATAACAACATTTTAAAATATTTCAGAGAAGAGCTTTTAGATTTCGCGATTTGTGCCCTTAATTATAATCGAGGTCCAATAAGAGAAAAATAATTAAAATGAAAAACGCTTAAAGATACGAGCGGTGCGCATCAAGTGCACATTTATCGGAATAAACATGTTTCGGACATGTTTAAAGGACTGGGAAGACGAGACGACGGGCTTAATTAACTTAGCGGTCGTTTATTTGCTGGTCAGTGTTATCTACAGTGATTTATTGTAAAAGTAACAATAGTGTATAAGTTAAAACGATATCATACATATTTACAGATTACCGCTCGATACGATCAATCGCGTGAGAGGAACGTCGACTATTTCTCATAAAAAAAATTGCGACAAGAAAAAGGACTTTTAAAAAATTCTTCGCGGTTTGTTTCATGGTCGTACATATCTCGAGCCTTCGCGTGCGATCGATTACGACATAAAGTCTCTACGACGAGTGATGCATGATCGAGGTCGATCGTCGATCCTGAATCACTCGCAAGAATCAGTTTTTGCTTATCTTGTTTTATTTATCCTAGCTTTTGCTTTTTCTTTCAATCAGATCGATCTCCAACATTAACGCTACGATCGATTCCAATCAATTCGTCATGTATGATGATCGTTCGATTCAAGTAACGATCAAAATATGGAAATTCGTGCAATTTCACAATGAGCCTTCATGTACAGCGATAAATTCCAATAGAATTTCTTTTTTATTTTATTATTGGCTGGAAGAACCACAAGGAGAAACATTACCAAGGATGGCTCAGCATGAAATTTTGCAAACTTCCACAGCTCTAGTAATGATTCACTGATCTACGACCGAATAAGTTCCTATCTAATCTCTGAGCTCTCGTCGTCTCTCGCCTAATATTCTGATTATGTACATCTTTTCAGAGCTAAAATGTTTCTCTCTTTCCTATTGTCAACATTATAATCAATATTTTCGTATACGATCCACCTAAAAATTATTTTGTGCGTAATTACTGACAAAATGCAGTAATTTATAAGAAATCTCGTTTCCCTGAATTATCAAAAAAGATTACTCGCACAAATAATTTATAAGATTGTAATAAATTTTTTGTTAATTTATAAATGTTTTTTTTATAAAAATTGATTCGAATAATTGAGAATATTTACAATATTCTCGGAAATCATTGACGCTTATCTCATAGCTTTCTCATATCGAGAAATTATTCGATTTAAATATTTTCCTCTGTTATTCTGATCATATTTCAACTCTTTCAATCGGTCTTTTTACTTACAGTAGATTAACCTAGAAATTTGTTCTAAGAATAGTCCCAGTTCTGATTCACCGGACGTTTTTCTACAGTTCACAATGATTCTAATTATTAGAAATTTTTCTCTTAATAGCGCCCGAGAAGCATATCTCCTAATGTTCCCGGACAGCAATTAACTGCTGCTTTGAAAAAGAAGGAGAGATATCTCAATTTTTAATCAAGATATCCATTTTTGAACTTTTTTCTTAAGAAAAAACGAATGCGCTCATATCGATCCAGCGTATGAACGCATTCCTTCAAAACTATAAAAACTATAAGCTCAATATTTGATTTACATTGACATTAAATTAAAAGCTTCTTCCAAGATATATATTTCGTAATCAACGCAATGTTTCGAAAAAATTAATGAACATCAAGCGATATCCATTCTATTGTATCTCAGTAGCATAAGAAAATAGCAAAATCGAGAGGAAAACAAAAAGCGAGAGAAAGAGAGATAATAATAATATCGAATTATTTAATTATGATATTAAATAAAAAATCGTGACTTGAGAAATAATTACAATTCTTCTTCTTGATCGAAGAAGAAGAAAGCAAGAAAGCAAAGAGCCTTGCACAAACGATCTCACAATACATCGTCTTTGTGTTCGCTTTTTATTTAAATAACAAGATTAATTTCTCCCTGATTTCTCGCTCTCGAAAGTTTCTCCAACGAGATGCGCTGCAGGAGAAATAACATTAATCGCTCACCGCCTTAATCCTGGAACCTCCATCAATCCAGAACCAGATTCATGTCTTGCGACTTGGTCTCCGTATATTCAGTATAATGAACGAACGCCCTCTCCCTCTGCAGATCCAGATGATTCTTCATGGCAATGACCGTGGGATGATGAGATGGTAGTCCCTCGTTCTCGACGAGATATCGTAGGGCCTCGGTGGTGCAAGCATCCCATCCGGCCGCCCAAGAGCCAGGATCCTGCTCCTGTTGAGTGCCAAAGGATGTAACCACCTGCGTAGTTTCCGGATCGTCTGTCCACCGACGACGATCCAGACTAGTAGAATCGAAGGACAATCGACAGTGCGGCTCCTGGCGATCTTGATGGAAGTTTCCAAAGTTTCTGAACTTTGTAAAGTTTGCGTTTTGCTCGTCAAAAAAATGGTCACGATCGAAATCGAGATCGCTCTGATGAACAGACGTTTTCGGATGGTCCACTTGATGGTCCTGAAGGCAACCACGGCCGAGATAACTCGTGTTCTGTAGTATCATTTCCACGTTATGAGTCGAATCCAGATGCGTAGTTCTGGAGACTGAAGATTGTTTCTGCGAATATTTGAGTTCCTGGGCCAGCGAAGCGGCGAGCTGGTGAAGTAACTTGGTGTTCTCCGTCTGCTCATCGTCATCCTCGAGCTCGTCAATGTCCACCTCGACGCCTTCGTCCTCGGATGACGACAGGAGATCCTCGTCATCGTCCTCGTTCATGCCTAACAATGTCAGTAGCCGCTCGGCAGCATCTACACAAACGGTCCAATTATCTATTAATGCAAGGAAAAATGGACTTCAACAAGATTAAGACAAAGATGAAAACTTTTTCAATGAAGAAAGGCTAATTCTGATGGAAAGATACTTATAGCAAAAGAACTGATGGAATAAATTTCAAAATAATTTGTTTCTAAAGTTATGCAAAATATTAAGAGATTAAACTATAATAGATTTATCACTAAAACAAGGGAATTAAAATCAAGAAATTGCATTAAGGGCTTAGTATATTCTAGCAGTAGGAAAAATTGATAATTTTTAGAAATTTCTTTTTTCTTAAAAATATTAAAAATTTATCTTTCTAGCATTTTATATATGTTTTTATTAATGCTTATACATTAAACAATATATCAATATTTTTATACCCCAAATATTTTTTTGTTCATTTAATATAATCGAAAATACATATAATTCGATACATTGCTTCTCGGATAATTATCTGAATAAATTCAATCTAATTTTATTCTATAAAATATTGATAGAATTTTGTATCAAAATTTATTATAAAAAATTGTAAAAAATAACAAAATCATTTTAAACTCAAGTATTTTAATTTTTCTGAAATTTATTTATTTGAAAGTTAGAAAAGTATTAATTATTAATTTTTTAAATTCTATTTAGGTTCAATATTTTCAAAAAAATGTCCTCTTTCTTTAAAAAATATTAAAGTTATTCCATCTATCAGTTTTCACGATATTCACATCAACTTTGTAAACAATGTTTTGAGAAAAACATGCTTAAAGTTTTGTAGGTCCATTTCAAGACTCATGCATCATCTTATTCAAAGTCTTATAACTCCATCAATTTTGCGAATTTTTTAATAAAGTTTAAGAGACTATGTATTCTCCAGACATCATACTTTTAGAAAATGTAAAAAAAGATAAATCGATTTTTCTGACTTTCTAAGTAGATTGGGCCCTAAAGAACAATCTTTTGGGGGAGATAGGAGAGGTAAAAATCTGGTTCTGGGAACGATTCACCTCGCGCGAGCTACGTCAAGTCGCCGGATGCCTATCGAGATTCTCTCTGGAAAGAGATGATCGAGATTCATCGTGCTTGACATTGAATCGACGACAATGACTGGAAGAAACGCCATTATTGTAACAGCCGGACCAACGCGCGATTCGATTTCGAACGAGTCCGTCGCGAGGTCGACGGCCCGGTTTTGGCAGTCCTGTGGGAATTCCACCCCATAAACGTCCCACGGGAACTACCTGTCGTCCGAAACCCACACCCCGCGCAATATCCGCCGCCCTGCGAATCGTCCGAATTTCGCACGAGTCTCTCCTCTTTCTCATCTCCCTCCGTTTATGAAGCAATATGCGCGCGTGTGTGTGTGTGTATGCACATGTGTGTTATAATGTGATGCGGCACATCGACATACGTGTGCGCTAACACGTCGTTCACACACCATCGCGAGAACGGAAAGGTCGTCCGGCGAGGGTAAGTTGAAGATACCTGTTCCTGGGAACGGGAGCGATTTTGATCAGAAGGTGGCGATCGATTAAATTGTACGTTCGGGATTCAAATAAAAAAAACGTAATATATCAGAGAGGCAATTAAGTTGTAATTACAAAGATTATTTAATCAAAGATAAGGAGAGGGAGGAGAAAACAGAGTGTATGACTGTAAAAGTATGCATATTTTGGGAATAATATTAATTAAATATTTAGTGACATATGATTTTAATTTAATTAATTTTAATTTAAAAGTATAAATATAAATATCAAATTAAAATTTGAATGAAAAAGAGATATTACAAGAATTTTATTTTAAAAATAATCTACAGCTTTAATGCTCAACAAACTTAGCATGAAAAAAATTATCGTTTTATTTTTATCATTCTAAAAGTATTTAAATTAATGTTTTCATTGATAAGACAAGGTGTACTTATATATATTAGCTTCTAAAGTATTCTCATATTTTTTTCCGACATTGCGAGTGTGTTCTATCAACGTTTTTCAAACAGTTTAAACGTATGTCATGTCGTACTCGTTCTTTTTTCTTGATGATAATAGAAAAGTCTGGACCAGTCGCGAGAGCGAGTTTATTCATTCTTCTTTTTCTCTATCATCTCTCTCTTTCTCTCTCCCCCTTCCCAAAAGACGCCAATGCGACTCTCTTTGCCGGACGTTCCCACAGGGATACCTGCATTTAAATGCCCTGTTCTCCTATAGTCTATGGGATATGTAACGAGGTTGGACCGGGTTGGGTTAGGTTAGGCAACGATTTAAAGGGATTGAAAGGCGCCTAACGAACGAATCGTTTGTTTCTAGCCAAAAAAATTATATGTAGACCATTTGGGAATAGTAAACTACTATGATATTATGCACCAATTATTCTAACAACTTATTGAATATATTATATGTACACATAAAGAAAAATGTATGTATTCATTGATTTATATAAAATATATATTCTACGTATATATTTTCTATATATGAAATAATAATTATATTTTTAATATATAATATTTTTAATATATATTATTTCTAAAATATACTAGATTTTGTATTCTCTATGCGGGCGAATTATGACTCTCAATTAGATGTGAAAACAGAAAAAAACTAAATATATTTTTTCATAAAATATAGTTTCTTCTATAAAAAAACATGTTTTTTTTAATTTTTCAAAAATTTAATATATCATTAAAAATTATCGATGTTTCTTACAAACTTCCTTCATCAACTTACGAATGTAAGCATCTTATAAACTAAAAAGTAATTTATTTTATCTTTTTTAAACCGATTTTAACGGAATAATGAAATTTTTTCAGTTAAAATAATACCAAATACGATATAATTCAGATAATTTTCAATTAAATGTATAATAAAAATTTTTGTTATGCATCTAATTAAAAATTATTTGAATTATCTTGTTTTGCCATGTAATTTGCCGTAAAAGTTTCATTAATTAATTAATAAATTACTTTTTACAAAATTTATAAACATAAATTTAATTTTATTTATTATATTAGTATAAATATATAAAGAAAAATATAGTGATGTATTAAAAAAATAATTTCAAAAAACAAATTTATTTTGTTTTAATGAAACATTTTTACAACATTTTTTTATGAGAAAAAATATTGTTACACTTATATTCTAACAGCCATAAAAAATGTTGTTCTCAATCGTCAATAATGACGCAATATATCGCCGTTGAAACTATGTGTGGATCGATTCTTATCGCGACCGATCAATTGACGTCTCATCGCGACGATCGTAAATTTATTTACAAGTGACATTACGATTTATTGTTCAACGATATCGTCTGAAATTACTCCGTCGAGAGAGGGCCATAATTCTTGTCAGTGAATAGAAATTTCTTTAGTTGCTCGTATACAGAAAGCCAGACATTAGCATAGAGAATTCATATATTTCAGAAGAAGATCGGCGAGACGCAAAGTTATTCCACCGACTTATATTCCGTGATTAATGATATCGACCTAATAAATTTTAATGGCTCACTCGCGTTTTGCGAGTAAATACGGATACAAAGTTGCGCAGTTGTACTCTATCATCGAGCGATATCTTTGCGTCATTTGGGCCTTATTAAAAGTTTTTAATCGGGACGACTCAAAAGATTGCATTCCCGTCGCGCTTTCTGGCGAATCATTTTATCGCTATGAAAATCTCCCAACTCGGCGAGTTAATTGGATTGGCTCTCATACAAATAGAAGCGAGTTTCTCTGCATAAAAAAAATGAGAAGTAGAATTTATAGGCTCCCTTTCTTCCCGAAGAAAAGGATGATTTTGTATAGGATTTGTGTATTCTATTATCTATAAGAATTATTATACATTAAATATGCAACAAGATTTTACGTAAAAAACGCAATTAATTTATATTTTTACGCTATTAAACGATTAATTGAATAATTTTTTCATGATGACGACAACTTTTCAATTTCCAACGTTCCATTAACAAAAAAAATTAATGCGGCTATTCTCACGCTCGAAAAGACCTCTGAGGGAAAAGCATCCAACGTTATTATAAGAAACCGGTGACTTTTTTTTATAATGGGGCGCGAGCAAAGATTTTCTAGGGCACGAGAATCTCGCTGGGGTGTATATGTTCCCTTACGACGTCGTAAAATATTTCTACTCTGTATTCGAGGCTAAAGAGGGAAGCAGAATTTCTCATATTCATGGGTGATTTCAATTCGTTCCACATTACGATGGAATTTCGCAAAGAGGACAGAGACACAGAGCAGAGATATACACGCGCTTTATTACTTAACTGAACAACAATGTAATTAGGAACGACAGAGGAAAGCTGATGCAATGCGTATAAACGTAATTATCTTGTCCGGAACTCGCATTTTATGCGTGCTTCGCCTATTAAAGCACAGTATTATACACATTACTTTCATTCCGGTATAAATCACACAACCGAGAAATAAGAAAAAAAATATATATGTTTCTGAAATTTTACATCCTTTAAAAATAATTTTAAAAAATGAAATAAGATTTTAAGTTATTAATTATTTTCTTATTCTTATTTTTAATTTTAATTTATAATAATTTTTTTCGATGACTTAATTTGTAATCTAGTGATCAAAACATTTGGATTTAGTATAATAAAGATTCTTTCAACCGCGATAACTCATTAATTGGTTTATCTGCGTTTCAAATCGTTAGATTTTTTTTTTATCTTAAAGTTTGTGTTAAGAAAGTTTTTACTTTAATTTAATAATTTTGGATTTTAATAGGACTTTAATTTAAACTTTATTTACAATCATATACAAGTGTTATTAAAAAGACAATCTATCAAATTTTCAAAACACGGATACATATTTGAATGATCCGTATTTAAAAGTAAGAATATGATAAATAAATTACCTCGTATTGTAGGCGAGTTATCCGTAATGTCGGTAGCTAGATCAACGAAATCCTCCAATCCTCCCCCATCTCCTCCGCAATCCATCATCGTGTCCTGCGAAAAAAAATATAGACAAAAAGAGAAATCTATTTCATACAAAGCGTGTTGTAAAAGTCAAGTTTAAAAATCGATAAAATAAATGGATAAAATCTATACATTTATCATCACTTTGATTTGATTGCAATTGAATTACGTCCCAAGCGAAACTGTCGATGGAAAAGGAAATTATCCATAAATTGTTTCCATAGTCGTTAGTCACTAAAACGTGCCTATTTCGCGATTTAAGCGATTCCTGTTACATTACAATTAAATTGCAAGCGCACGTGAAATTTAATTAAAATCTGCGCAAGTTGCGTTCAAACGAAAAATTATCGCGGTAAAATATTATATGAATTGTAAAATAAATAATCGCGATAAAAAATACGATGAAAAATATAATAATTAATCGTAAAAAATAGTCCAAATTTTGTTAATAAAAAGCTTTGAAAATTCGACATCATCGTCAATTTCGAAACTTGCGAGACGCAACGACGTCGTAAATTATTGCAAACCAGTAACTACTGCGTTATTAATGCCGTCATTTATATAATTTTCGTGTAATATTGCACGCATTAACGATACAATCGCTTCCAAACCATCAATTTGCTGCGAAACTCAATAATTCGCAAGAAAACGCTATTAATCCGTCCGCGATCGAGAAAGGCTTTTCCCAAAATAATTATTACTCGCGATCGTATGTAAGAATTGCGATTTACGATTTCTCTCATCATCGATAATCGAACCCTTTGATCTCAAAGTTGCCAACTGCACATTAAATATCATTAAATAAATCGGAATAAAAAATCTTTCTATTTTTTATTTTATTCCGAAATGTATTTATATTAGACAGAGAGAAAGAGTGTGCTCGCTTTTTTATTACTTATAAAATATTTATCTATCATTGATATGATATTTATCCTCTTATGAATATGAGTAGCAGTTATACAACACACTATAATCTTCGTTCCATCAAGCTTTCAACTATTAACAAGATTCTTCAGCGGGTCCGTACAACTCTACACATATTTTCAGCAATAACCATAAACGGATTAACAGTAAAAAAATTGATAGTACTTTCACTCGGGCTTTACGGCAGCATGTAAGCATAATAGAAATTCTCTTATAGCGATATATTCGGTTTTTTTCTAACGATTCAGCTGACCATCCAATAGACAGGGATTTACGATCGACCTTGACTCTTTATAAAATATCCAAAATTTACTGTCTCCTCGAGGACAAAATACGCAAGCAGGTAATTGCGTGTCCAGTAACCCAGTGGCCCAGGTAATAAACGAGACAGAAATAAAACCGCGAACACAAGGCAAACAAGTAATTGTATTGTATCGTAAAAATGTGGAAGAATCTCCGTATCCGTTTGTATCACGGGAAACACGAGAATCGGTTCCTATACAATGCCTAAGCTCAAGATACCAAGGTTACACAAGAGCCGTCTCCTCCGGAAGAAAAGGAAGAAAATTGAAAAGGGTTTTTCTGGCGGGAAGAAACTAACTCTTGCCACATGCCGACGAATTTCCTCAGGGACGAGTGAAAGCGAGAACGCACTCGAGAAAGTTTGCGGAATGGAAATTAAAACGATCGCGCCGCCGGTCGTGAGGGAAACTTAAAAACGGAAATTACATTGTGAATAAAAAAAAGGAGGAAAAAATGAAGAATAATCAAAGTAAAGATGTAAAAATACCATTTCTTTTTTAACTGAAATGTTGAAAAAAACAAGTTTGATATTTTTCATAATTTTTTAAAATATAATTTTACTTTTCTTCTTTTATTATTGTGTTAATATAATAAAAAAAACTCTCTCTCTCTCTCTTTTTCTGTTTTTAAATTATTTCGTATCACTTTCGGAAAAAACTTATTAATTTTCCAATAATCTATTAAAATTACGTTAAAGAAATAAATTTAAAACAGATAAAGATTTTAGTTCTTTTTAATTATATTAACGTAGTGATTAAAATTTCATTTTTAAAAGTTACAAATTGTGTTTTTGTATCTATAATAAAGTCAATTTATTTAAATTCAATTTTGACTCATCTTTTAGAGAATTTATCTAATTAAAAATAGTAATTACGTAACTATATAGTCAATTGGAAAAATTTGATCTGCATTTAAAATAATGATTAGTTCAAATCTGTCACTTAAAAAATCAAAAATGTTGAAAAACCAACTTGCAGTAATCAAAATATGAAGAAGTAAAATATCTGAATAGGAAAACAGAATTGTGACAAAAACACAAGATTTGTTCTTTTTTATATTATTTTATTTTTTATTACATAAAAGCGCATTTTGCGCAAAAAAATATTTTGTTTCATCTCTAAATAAAAATAACTCCTGCCGACATAACTACGCGATTCTATAGCGAGTTCTATTGATTAAATGTAAAATCTGATTAAAATACGAAATATACATGTATATGATTGTGCGATTAAATATTCATCACGTAATTAATATTCTCGACCTATATTCATACGGCCGACGATCGCGATGTTGCACGTTTCCGTGATAATAATATCAAATTATGGTTCCGGCTCGCAACAATGTATTTAACGCACACCGGTTCGTATAAATTAATGTGTTTTGCGCGAGATTCCACGCCCAAGTCGTTCTAACGTCGATTACGATCGAAAATAATGTAGCAAAAGTATCAAAAAGCGTTCCGACCGACCTGGTCTTGTTCGACGCGTGCTAATTATCGCCATTAACGGAAAATAGCTTTAATGATGAAAATTATGGCCATAATCTAGATGCGTTCGAATCGATACATTCGCGGCTTCTCGCCGCTAATTGCATCGATATGGAAATTTGAAGGGAAACGAGCTCGATAATTTTCTTTCGACTCTCTCGCGCGGCTGATCTCTGTCTTCGCGGAATCAAGGGGACGTATCGCCCGATATCGCGCTATAATCGATATATGCAAACGAGAGGTGAAAACAAGATTTTGTATTGTGTATAAATTTTACGTTAAAGCTTCCTTCAGATCGTCGGGGGAAGATAATCGAACGAGAAGGCTAAAATATAGCGAGCGCGAAAGCTCCGATAACGTCTTTGTCGTTTGTATATTCTTAAGTCTCTTCGATTAAATCGACACGCGCAATAAACGCATGCAAATTCGGATCCGATGCATCGCGTTTGTATTATTTCGCATAATTCGAGGCGAAATGCCAAAGTACACTCTAATCGATGCGCGAAATCGAGGAGCGTAAATAGATCTCCTTCGTTCTTTCTTTCTCTTTACGATTTCGAAGCTTCGCCTCAGGAAGGTGAATGGACCAGTCCGAATGTAAGATGCAGTTGCGATGTATATTGCCAGTTATCGAATCGTGTTTGGCCGGTGTATGCAAATCTCGGACAATTCGAGGAAAAATTTATTTACTTCTGCGGCAAGAAACATGTGAGCGTGCTTTAATGAGTTTGCGCAATACCGATAACATACACGGAAACGAAAATGCACAACAAACTACGGACGTCGCCCTTTCGTGACGGCTATTCGGATATTCGGGCCATCGATCGCGAGTAAAACGCGAGTGTTTAGTTAACGGGTCGCAGACACGCCCGGTTATCTCCGACCAACTATAGAGAATATAATCGACTACAGTGATTCGTTGCGATTAAATTACGGTAAAAAAATATTTGAGATTAACTATTATAAATTTCGAGAAATATATAAATGCACAAATTTATATGTCAACACTCAGAATTAAAATTATATAAATTGTAAATATATAAAATTATATATAATTGTCTATTTTCATGTTTCTCTTTTATTTTCTCGCAATATTTAATTGTTTACTTGTTTTATTTGTTTAATTCTTAATACAAATAATCATCTTAAATTACAATAAAAAAATTCATAAGTAAATAAATCATTATAAACAATAAATTAATTATATAAATAAATACATAAATATAAAGATGATTTAATATTGCATTTCTATTGTTACCGAAAAATATTGAAAATAAATCCATCTATTTTGAACGAAAATGCAAACCGTGATCCGAATGATCGATTTATACCGCGCCAGATGTCAATCAGTGTTCGAGCAAAATAATAAACGTGAATGCGGTTCAATTAGACAAATTGATAGATGCAGATCTGCCACTTTTAATGTCGCTCTTTCATAGAAGCGATTTTTGTCTCATTCAAATCGTTCCTCGAAAATGACATACAAGTCAATGCGAGATCAAAATAACTCTTACGATTCTTTTGTATAAAATTTGTTGAACTTTGTTCTATGCAAATTACCAATTCGCCTAATTAATTTGCAAGTTGCGATATCTGTGACGTCAGCAACATCGATAACATGCCACATATATCGGATTATTAAAATATTTCTTTTGAAAAATGTCAAAATGAATATCGGTGATAATATCTAAAAATTAAAAGAGAGAGAAAAACGGGACTAATTAAATCTCACAAAGTCAGTTTTAGCCGCGAAGATGAAAAGTGATTAAAAATTTAAAAGTCTTGATCGGATCGATTTGGATCGACTTATTTTTCATTATTTACTTCGAAAAGAGTGACAAATCTCTCGGAGACGATCTATTCGATTTCGTTCGGATATGCGAGGCCGTGTCCTTACAACGAGTATTTCTCTTCAGCCTCTCTCTCGTCTTTATCGAGACACACAGGGATATAAATAGAACGAGAAGGCAGAGTAACTACAGCACGTACGCTAGTAAAGGGACACGTTTGACCACTTCGGTGCAGTCATCTTCACATTGGTTGCCAAGCGAACGGATGTAAGGTGCCGAAGAGACGATTCCGAATTCAAAGAGCGCCGCGCAACTTGAAATGGGTGGTCCTAAAAGAGTACATGGAATTTCGGGGAAAACTCGAGAGAGTTATATCTATCTCGAGATTTAAATGAATGAATTGCTTATATTATATTTCGTAAACGACACACGAATTTATTTCTCGAGTATATCTTAATACAGTTAAATGAAACTATAAATCGATATTTTTTTATGAGATCAATCATGTTATAGATCAATCATGTTATAGATAATCAATCGTGTATTTTTACTTGTATCGAGAATATGAGAAAAATATTATTTCTTAAAATATTATTAAAATGTTACTTATTTAAATTTATTATTATATTTAAATCTATTATATTTATTATTATTGTATTATTATTATTATTATTATATTTGAATTTATTATTATTTATGATTTTGTTATTAATTAAGAATTAAAGAACTAAATATTACGAGAGATTTTAATAAATAAAATCTTCATAAAATCATTATATTTTTTAGTGACGATCAGGCAAAGAATAAAAATCTATCCCATGAAAAGGAAAATATATAAAACAAACTTTTCATCTTTGTAAGAGCAAGAGCTGATTTACTTTGTCATTTTCAAGAAAACCGAAAGAACCCTAAATTAAATTCGAACGAGATTCAACGAGAGATGGCGAAGAAAGAGGAAAGAAAAATTGTAAAGTGAAGAACTTGGAAGAGAGATGATCAAAGTTTCGGAGAATTATTGAGGCAAACTCGAGACTTATTCCGCTCGTTGCAATAAATACAAATATCGAAACTGCGCAAAGAGAAACCAAACCAAAGCACCGAGAGCAACCCCTACATTTTATGCAAGATTGCATTTCCCGAAAGATACTTCTTTCCCTCTAGAAGTTCTAGAGAAGCGCATGGACATGCAGTTGGGGAATGCAGTTAACTGCAGAAAAGGGCGCAATGGGATTCAATTTGAAATTCTAATTCGCCCCCAGCCGTCGTTCCGATAGAATTTTAAACGAGAAAACTCTCGCGGCGAGATGACTCGCAGCGCGCGAAGATCGAAGTCGAGAGATAAATAACTAAGTAGGATACGTCAAGCAAACGAGAGCTTAGAATTCAAAAAGCAGATCTAAGATTCGTAAACAGGAAATTACAGTTATCGCGATCGAAATACACGCGATGATAAGGGAATGTAAAGATGAAGAAGGAAGAAGGAGGAAAGAAAGAGCGGGAGGGAAAAGAAAACATTGTGATCAAGATGACGATTTTCTCAGGCAGCGATTGATGTAATTCTATAGTGTCGGATGGAAAGAGGGTAATAACGGAAGCTTAAATCGATATATACTCGCCCCTTTTTACCGTTAATAACACTCAGGGGTTGGGGTCGGAAAACATAAAAGGATTGCTTCTATAATCCACCCCCGCATCGCATAAATCGCGCGGATAGAATCAGAATTATTATCGCCGTGAGCTCTTCGTTCTGTAATAGGGATTTAAGGATCTACTTTAGAGGATAAAAACATCGATTTTTTACATTTTCTAAAAGTAAAAAGAATGTCTTTCAAATTTCATTGAAAAACTCGTAAAACTGAGTTAAAAACTTTGAATAGGATGAGACTTGAAATCGGTGTGAAAAATTTTAAACTTACTGTTTTCAAAATTGATGTGACGGATATTTTGAAAACTAATATGAAATAACTTTAATTTTTTTATAAAAAAATTCTTAGAGATATTGAAATTAAATAGAATTTAAAAAATTAATAATTAACATCTTTTTGATCTTCAAGAAATTTATTTTCTTGTTGAAACGAATTTATTTATTTATTTGCTAAAATAAATAAATTTCAACAAAATTGAAATATCTAGTCTTCAAGTAACACTACTTTTATCATTATTCAATTTTCTCGAGTGAAATTAGGTTCAGTATTTCATAAACATCTTGCAAAATAAAACTGGATCGAGTTTATTTATGTCAGGCAATTGCATAAGAGAGATATAATATATCATACATCAATGCAAATATATGTAAAATGTTAAGAAGATCAATTAATATTCTTCAAAAAAAAATTATCAATTTTTCAATTATTGGAGCAGAAACTGGATCTTTAAATCAGCGAATTCGCGAGAGGAAGAGATAAAAGTTTACATGTTCTACCTTCCTTCCATACAAGATTCTCTATATGTATATAATAATATCAATCTCTAATACGATCGAGAAAAACGACGAGCGATTATTATCCGAATTCATCAATTCACGCGAGAAAAAAAAAACAAAAATTTATTTCGCGCAATTGCACCGAGAAAACGAGACAGGGAACGAATGGGAAAAAAAGGCCAATTCGCAATCGATTTCGGGCAGGTGCAAAGAGCGTTTTGGTAGCGATGCGATCGTAAATACAGGTGATTATCGCTCGAATTTTTCCGAGAATGCTCGACGAAGAGAATAGAAGAGATACGAGTTTGCGAATTACAAGCTATTTTTCTCTCGATGAAAATCGTCAAATTGAGACGATTAAGATGTCAGTAATGCAAGTGACACACAAGTGCTATTTATGCGCTTATCGTGCGGGTTAATCAACGGGAACAATCTGTATCAACATTGCTGTGTAATTCAGCGCGATTAAGTTAGTACGCGAAGCAAAAATATTGCGAGGTTTTTCTATTTGCTCATCATCAGATCCTCGTTATCATCTACGATTGTTTTATTGTTATATCATCATTATTGCATATTTTATTGTTTTTTTTCTGGCTAATGATAAAATGTTTGCACAATTTTAAATTAAATAACAAATACGTAAAATTTTAATGCTGTTTATGCTATTTATATTCAAATCACAGGCTATTCCTTTACGTCTTTCTTTTTAGAATAACTTTTGTTTGATAAAATATATTAAAGAGGATTATTCTATCTCTTTTCACTCTACATCAAATCATGGGTACGTGATTAAGAGTCTTAATTTAAAATTCCATCAGAGTCCATTTAAAATTTATTTATTCGAGGAACCACAATTGTCTTAACGTATATTTATTGAGAGGAAGAGGGAACTCTTCGAATTCATCGGAGGGATCTGTAATAAAAAGGGGGACGTCCGATGAAGCGGACTAAAACGCTAACTGAAAGATCGCGTAAATCGGGAACGCGATGCGATTGATATCGGCGATTACGTACCTCCGACAGGGCGTCCTCCATCATATCGCTCGTGTCCCTCATGACTCCCGATGGAAACTAGCACCGACAACAATCACTCAACGCCCACGTTCTTCCTATCTCTCTTCTCCGCGGGAAGCTCCTCTTCTCTCTTTATCTTCCTCCGCGCTCTTCTCGTCTTCGCGCCCAACGTTACTCTCCTCTCGCCTGTCGGGAGAGGGAGAAAGAGAGAGATACCGACTACGATGACAAGTGTGCTCGCGGGCCGCTCGCTCCAGCAGCGAAGAGGAATTCCGTGACGTCACGAGCGATACATCTCTGTCATCGCCAACGGGCGGCTGATCTCGCGGATGTCGAAACTTCCACCGCTGCTAACGGCTTTTGACGGATCGATCGTATCGCCTCTCCTCCTGGGACCGCTCGCGTTTCCTCTCCGCCTCGTGGAAATCTCGAGGAATGATATTCCACCTAGTCGCACGCGACGTACAACTCGCGTGACGCTTCTTCCTTCGCGAGGTGCCTCGACCACCTCCTGGAGCGTTCACCATGCGCTTCCACCGGCTCCGCGATCCATCGTAGTGCGCGACTTGGGAGACACTAAACGGCCGCGCGCTGGCAGGTAACGCCGAGTGCTTGGCAGGTCGAGACCCTCCTGCCAGAAGGCAGATCTGCCACCATGACAGACCGTCGTCGGCGCGCGCGCTTATCTCTCTCTCTCTCTCTCTTTATTTCCCTTCCCTCTTACTCTCACCACCGAGCACGCAGGATCGAACGTAGATGGGTCTTTCTTTTCTCTCTCTTCCTTTGACGTAAGAAACGTCAGAGTTCTGCTTCACTGTGCACTTGATAGTAATCGGTCTACTTTATGACTCTACGTAGAATGAAATTAAAGTGCGAGTCGAGAACTGTCAGGAGTTAATTTCGTCGACTGAAGAAGACTGGCACCTCGTTACCACGTGACGGCACTGGCGCTGGTCTCTCCGTTCAACCTCCATTCACGCGCTCCGTTCCTCCTCCTCCTCCTTCTCCACGCGACTTGACAGCGCAGCAGCTGCCTCCGTCTCCTGGACTTGCTCGCCAGACGTCGCGCCGTCGCAGCCTCTTCATTGTCGTCGCGACGCTATCGCGGACGTTCGCGAGACATCCGGCGAAACATCACGCACACGCATTACGATGAAAAATTAAGATATACACGACGCATTACACGCATATACAGAATGGAGCATTTTTTAATTAAAGTTACAAGATGCTTGCTCCGAAACTTGACGTCAGAAAAAAATGTTTCATACGAAATTTATGAGATTTTGAGGGAGAAAGAGTTGAGACAATCTTGAATTTTCTACACTTTTTTTATAAATTGATTTCTCGCTATATCAGGTGTAAATGATTAAAATAGGATAAAACAGCCAAAAAATTGATTAGTTTGAGATATTTTATATATATATATATATACATATATATTATAGATCACACTAGAAATAATTCATTAGAAAAAAATTACCGTTTAAAATATCTTCTTAATTTTACATAAAAATTTTACATAAAACGTTAAAAGTTAAATAATTATGAAAAGTATTTGTTTCGTTTTAGTTTTTGTTTACGTGAAAACCGCAGAATTTTGAAAGTCATCGTCAATTTTTAAATAGAAACATCTTAATGTGTTTATAAATCGATTCCCACATAATGTTCGATGTAAAAAATTATAATAGCAAGATTGCCAAAAATTAATTAATTTACGTGACATACTTTAATTTGACATAATTTTAAACTACTTAATAAACAAAATATCTCGCAAAATTTATTTTTCTATTATTCTATCACAATATTTTTATACACGATATAATGGGATGAATTCAATTGATGTAAAGAAAACATGTAGTTATTTTTAAAAAGAACTTATAAATTTACTACAAACACACACGCTGTGCTACACACACACGCGCACGCGCACACACACACACACACATACACACACATATCGCTTATATATTACATATATATACATTCTATCGTAAAGGATAAAATATTGGAAAAATATGATAGACATGCGAAATAATTGAATATATAAAATGGCGAAAATGCATATGTTCGGGTTTACTTTAATCGGTCTGTTGCAGAGTGCTTCTTTCTTTTTTTCTTCCTTTCGCCGCTAAAAACCAGCGTTTCTTGCCGGTGCTACAAAGCGATTCGCGTGTTCTGGTCGAGGGCAGGAACACGAACAGCTGCTATTTCACCTGTTCGATACATTATTTAAATGCTTCATCTGCCTCGATCTCCTGAGATACCGCAAGATAAGCAACCAACGTTTCCTGCTTTCTTACAGCTATCACGCAAGCTTTTTTATATCTGTACATGGGATTTATTTGTTAAGCTTTTAAAAATTGTTCACGAAAAATATTAACAGATTCTATGTAGATCTTCAGAAATTATAGTGCAAAGACACGCACGTACTTATATGTACTTTATTTCAAAATATATAAAATAATTCTTTTTTAATTCTTTAAAAAATAATAAAAATTTTTCGATTAATTAGCACAAAATATTAATTTAATACTTCGTAATCTCAATTATTAAAAATAAATATCTTCTTTAAGCGCAATATTTTGTTCGTATGGGCAAATCTCTCCAATTCCATTATCGCGAAATATATATAATCTGACGATAATAGTGCATGCACACACACGCTCTTATATATGTGTATTTTATTTCAAAATATATAAAATAATTCTTTTACAATTCTTTCAAAAATAATTAAAATTTTTCGATCAATTAGCACAAAATATTAATTTAATATTTCGTAATCTCAAATATCAGAAATAAATATCTTCTCTAAGCGCAATATTTGTTCGTAAATGCAATCTCTCCAATTCTATTATCGCGAAATATATATATAATCTGATTTTTAAAATTATACAAAAGTTGTTCGCCTTTCAACTCCCGTCAATATAGGACTCATTTTCTTCACATAGTTAATAAAGTAATCCATATCACGTTCGCCAATTTTGTGATTGCGACTATTATTCTTGAAAATGTAATAACCATCTCCGCCGGATACCATGAAACTTGGCACAACTATTCTGTACCATTGATCGTTCACCAAATCTTCGAATATTGGATATTCACAAGCTTGGCACCTGTCGGTTACATTAAGCGAAATTAAAACCGCTATTAATTTTCAATACGATCGATATATAATGTAAAATGTAAGGATATTAGATTCAATTTATGTTCCAACTTTGTTACGGGACGAATGAAAATTCAGTCGATAAGAGATTTTACCTGATTTTAACGTCGACCACAGTTCGCTTTTTATTGGCCTCTTTGTAAGTAACTTTTAACCCGGACCAGGATAGAATTTTTCCCATTTCCAGAATCTACGAGAAAAAGTATGAAATTTAATTCACTAATCGCGCGATTCAATCTTCACATTCCTGAAGATAGGCCACCGCAAATGCATGTTTACGTTCACATATTGATTCTTACGGCGCTGTTTCTTTTTTATAATTTATCTTAGATTAAACTAACATCTAGATTATATCTATCAATATTTTTTAATGAGATATCAAAAAAATTATATGCTAACAAGAAATTTAAGAATTGAACTAACTTTTTTAATGGATTCTCCAGTAAGTTCAAGGGTATCCCAAGTGTTTTCGAAAGGCTGAACCATCAGCAAATCACCATAAGTGATTTCGGATTCTTCGATGGAAGTGCGAAGTCCTCCTGCATTTTGGCAGGCTACCGCTGCATACGTCCAATGATTTTTATTTTCGGCACTATCGACAAACTGAGAAATTTTTATATATATAATTTGTAATTTAATTAATTTAATAATTTTGATAAGATTTATTCAAATATTCATAAAAAAATATTCATAAAAATATTGTATTGAAAATTTTCGAAAACTTTACGTCTTACGAAAATTTTTTGTCTTGATTTTGAATGAATTTTTGTAGCAAACATCTCATCTTGTATTGTGTCTTGTTTCAAATTTATTAACAATTTTTATGTAATACTGAACAATTGTTTAAAATAACATTTAACATAATCTTTATTCTGAATTTATTATATAAATTCAGAATTTATATTAATATAAATATATTACATAAAATTGTTTGAAATTTTATGTATTGTATAAAATTGTTTCAAATTATATATAATATAGTAATATATTTTTTTCGTATCTAATTTATAAATATATATATTTTAACTTTTTTAAAAAATTAATAGTCTTATTGTTAGATATCTTGATATTATTTTGAATCTTGATAACTAAATCTTGTCTCGAACTTATCTCTAATTTCAAGACAAAAGAAGACAGAATCAAAACTAATCTTGGTATCTCGTACAATCCTAATTTTTATTAAAAAATATTTTATTTTACGCACCGCGTTTACCATAGCGTCGGTTACAAAGTTTCCCATGTTACATTCCTCGGAATAACACTGGTGACTGAGGAAGACTCTCGTGCTGCCAATTTTTTCCAACGCTACCGCGTCCACTTCCTTCTTCCATGGTTTTAGAGCTTCCAGGATTTCCGGATCTAAAAATACATGTATGTAATTATTGTAAACATTATTTCTCAAGTATCGAAATGTGTTGGCTTACCTTCTGGGATAGACTCGTCCAAAAGGAGCGGGTTTCCATCCCAATCGACGACCTCGCCTTGGTCATCGAACCATACCGTCAAATTACCCAAGTATCTTTAAAAAAGAAATGAGTAGAATATAAAAATGAATGAAATTATCGCACGTACATGTATATACGCGATATCAACTATGAAACGCAATCTCGTCCCCTCTCTTTGATAGATTTAAAGTAAATCTATCTATTAAACGGTAAATTAATCAGGGCCGACCTCGTGACATCAGATAGGAATTGACCTTTTTTAACGGTACTCTTGATATATCTTTATGAATGAATGACGTACTTTGTAAACGCAGCTGCTTGTACGATGAGAACCGTTCTGTTTGTCTCATTTTGCGTCACGACTACAGGATATTCGTCCTCCGGTGTATCGATAAAAGGCGGAGGTCCTGATGATTATATAACAATTAATATTATATAATAATTAACGCTATGCGTTTAAGAATATTATATCGATAAAAGTTTCCCTCATCCTCATTTATTGCAAGCGAGAAAATAGGAAAAAGAATTATAATACGCAAAATAACATTTTGTTTCCATATCACAAATACAGCTCTTACGAGAATATGCAATATTTTCAAAAAATTTATATAAGCTTCATATTTGATTGAAATATGAAAGACTGTTTTTTTTCAGACCTGTATAAAGGAATGTGTGCGAGTGGCCGCCGACGATCACGTCGATCAAGGGACACTTCGCAGCCATAATTCTGTCTATATCCAATCCGCAGTGGCTTAATACTATAATAATATCCACTCCCTTTTTTTTCAATCGTTGGGCTTCATCATTGACTGTCTCCACCTCGTCCAAGAACTTTAATTTCCCCGTACTCGCGATCATCTAGAAGCATCAAATAAAATTTAAAAAATTGATATTCTGTATTCTGTGAGTATGTAAAAATATATCCTATATATTAAATTAAATATCTTATTAATTTTATTATATATTTAATTATATATTTAATTATATATATTTAATTAATATAGTAATTAAATGAAATATACTTTAAATTGTTTTATAGAGAAGAATACATCGATACTCACATTCGTAGTCGACAGGATGACACCGATGACACCGATCTTTGTACCATTCCTCTCGATGATCGTGCTATTTTCATATAAATTCTAAAAAATAATAAGTATATAAATCAATGCCTCTATAAATGAATGAATGGATATTACAAACCTGTAGAGTTGGTTCCTCGCTATCATCGATGTTCGTTACCACAACCGGTGCTTTGACATTCTTGAGAAAGGGAACAAGGCCTTCGACTTCATTATCGAATTCATGATTACCGATCGTCTATATAATAAAAAATTAAAAATAATTAATTATTTGATTTAATCATCATTAAATATATATTTTTTTGTTCTTTTCTGATAATAGTAGTTGATATGTAAGAAATTTGACTTTGAATAGCTATTTTACTTATATTTTCTTTCATTATTATTTTCTTCTAAGTTAATGATGAATTTCTGTTCTAAACAAAAAAACGCAATTAAACGCGCGCGGATGTAATTAATTATACCATGACGTCGTGCGGCAACATGTTCATGAACAGAGCGGTGACATTCCAGCGATGGATATTGTACCAGAGGGTCCCCTGAAAATGATCACCGGCATTGAGAAAAATTGCATTCGGCCGTTCTTTAACGAGCTGATTGACTGCCGTGTAAACTCTGGCGATACCTCCCACGCAGTCCTGCTCATGACCCTCGCGGCAAGATCCAGAAGTCGGGCCAGTTTGCTCGAACCTATGTCGACATACATAATTTTTGTTTTCTTAAAGTGTCACGCTTTGATGCTCCGAATATAAATAACAAAACGATCGAAAGACCGACAAAAGGAAGGAAGGGGACCAAGGCTACGTCAATTATTACAATTGCTTTATCCTTGACTCTCGACAAATTCGTTTCGAGACCAAAGTTATAATAGTTTTCAAAGATATATAATGATCGACGATTATGACGCAATGTTAAAATTTCAAGAACAAAATCATTCTTTACATCAATAATGGATATTTACTTATTTATTTAATAAATTTATCCGATGCTCGATTGTAAATTTATATAAAAGACAAATTAATTACAAATTTTTTACGATTATTTGATAAGGAAATTATAAACAGAATCGTTCACCTGGCGTGAAAATCATTCAAATGAATTATCGACAACTCGAAGAGGTCCGTCCTGCCAGGATAAAAGAGTCCACGCCCGGTGAATCCACAACAGACTTGGAACAACAATAACAACAACGAGAACGACGGCAGCGCGTACATGTTGCACCTGTCGGAAAAGATATCATTAAGTCGATGATTGCGGGTTTACTGCGAATATGTGATCGGATACACACAGATGAGATTGAAACGAGGTATCAAACTGTATATATGTAATTTTTTATGCCTTTTTATAGCGTATTTAAATTATATAATATCACTCTCTCTCTCTCTCTCTCTCTTTCTTTCTCAAAAGAGACCATGTCGTATCTTTTCAAACTGCGTCTTAAAAATACATTCTGTGTTTAATGAAATCTTTCTCGAGCCATAACATTTCACTTGTTCAATCTTTCGTCACAATATGAAGATGATAGTTGTACTTTTCCCAACACATAGTACGTGTTATTATTAAAAAAACAGATAATACAAGTTAGATAGTTACGTAAAAGTCAAACATGGCAATCTTACATCTTCGACGAGATAGTCGTTATCAATATTAAAGTATTAATATTATCATTAATATTGATATATTAAAGCAACAAATAATAACACGTAGATTACACATGTAGAAATAAAAGAAACGAAATAAATCTCTTTTAAGAAATATCATATATTTATATAATTTATTAATTTTTTTATACGCGTATGTAATTATTATACAATTTTTGATTTAATAAATTATAGAAAAAAAATAACAAAAAAATATTCAGAGTTACGTAAGTTCATCTTTTTACAGATAATTATAAAATTATATTTATATATCTATATATAACACGACAAATAATTTTTTTAAATAATTTTTTGCTCTTTGTCTTCAATAAATTTCCATATAATATAATGCATAATTGCAATTTAACTCTTTTATCATATCGCTATATTGTATCGCACGTTATATTTTTTCTTCTAAATATTACTATCTAACGTCTACTACAAATTCCGCAAATTTTTTCCTGATGTTTTGTCGAGAATGAGGAGTTCGCTCATTTGTACACTCGCGCGATAATTATTCTGTGACATAAAAAAAAATCGCTTAAATCTTACTACGTTGCTCCCACTATAAGGCGAGCAGATAAGTGAAACAAGTGTCTTGCCAGTGAGAAGCAAAAGATAAAATAATCACGCTTGATAGAAAACGTGAAATCGCGGTCAAGTAATAAAAAAAATAAGAACGAAATTAATGAAATGGAAACGGCATCCCACATAGCAAACTGCTTGTATATTGTAAAGATATCTATCTACAAAATATCTATCTAAGAGATATCTTCCAGATTCTAATATAATTCAAGATTATTTCATCTAGGATATGATATCTGATTTTGTATCAAATATTAGAGATATATATTTTATTAAAATTGGATTTAATTTAAAATATTGCAGAATAGGACATGTAATGTGATATATGTTTTTTTCGCAATAAATGGTTTAATAATAATCATTTTACAAAAATAATATATATAAGTGAAGATTGTCATATAAAGAAACAAGATTGAAATCATATTTCATTACAATAGAAAGCATATATTAGTACTATATGTTCTAATTTATATCATATTTATATAATTATAAAGATTATATTTTAATTCTTATATATATATATATATATATATATATATATATATAATTATAAATTTATATTCATGGAAATGTAATATCCTGAAAATTTTTCTTAAGATAATGAAATATCTCAAATATGAAATAATTGACAAATAATTGAAATAAATAATAGATAAATATCTCAAATTTATCAGTGAAACGATACCTAATTTATATCTCATATATTTTAATCAGATATATTTTACTGCGTCGGATGATAAATAACTGCAACGTCATTTGCGATAATTATCTTGATTAATACTTATCTCAAATAAATATCGCGAAAAAGCAAAAATGGCTGTAAAATACAATATTACAATATTACAATATGCAGATAAAATTCTAAACGTTACGACATAAATAACGACACGTGGCTCAACGAATTACAATGTAATTATATAATTCTTTATCCAACGAACGTGTAAGCATAATTCTTACCTTTTTATCTTTTAGTGAGTTGGTAACTCGCGTGTCGAATATTCGTGAAGAACTGTGTTTCTTCGAATTGCATGCAGTTTTGTTCCTTTCGTGAAAGAATGTTGTTATCAGATCCCCTACCTACATGCGAGTGATTACAAAACATATTGTGCCAAGTTTTAATGATTTCTATTTTTGAATGAAATATTATTTACATTAATGTATACATATTAATGTATACATATTTGACATCGCATACAAACATTTTACAAAAGTAAATGACGTAAGTACACATATGTTATTTATGTTTCTACTTTAAAAAACGCATTAAAATATTTATTGCTATTGTCAATTTTTAAATATACAATTTTTACGTCTTCGTATATATCGTATTCATATATTCGTATGTATTGTGAGCAATATGTGTTTACAATTAACATGACACTCGTGATATAATAATTTTAAATTATATTGTAGCTATGTCAAATTTTTTGTAATATCATATTGTCTCTTTAAACATAAATGATATAATTTTATTCCGTGGGGAATCAGAATCTAAATTTTAAAAAAATTAATAATCTTGATATATCTTCCACTCCAGCAAGATAATTTTATTACATAAAGTTAATTTTTTTTCGATATCGATAAATAATAAATTTTTTTTGAAAGAAGAGAAAATGTTCTATAACATTAATCTCGAATTTATAACTGGGAAAAAATAGAAATCAGGAAATTAGGAAATGTTGAAAATCATTATAAATATTATAGATCAAGAACTTGTAAATTTAGAAAATTATTTCTATAAAACAAGGTTTCATCTTCTCTGCTTTGCATAAAAATGTATATGATTAAAAAAATACAAAAATGATATTAATAAATAATAAAATTTTTCCAGGAAAACAATATAAACAGGAAAAAAATATTATATAACACTGAACTCGTAATTTGAATGAATAGAAATCAGAATAGATAAAAAAAATTACAAATAAATACAAATCAGAAGATCTTGAGAATATAAATCTAGAAAATTACTTCTTTCTCTCTCTCTCTCTCTCTCTCTCTCTCTCTCTCTCTCTCTCTCTCTCTCTCTCTCTCTCTCTCTCTCTCTCTCTCTCTTTCTATCTCTCTATAAAACAAGATTTTATCCTCTTGTTACATAATATAATATAATTAAAAAATATAAAAAAATCGCTGCTGTCCGCATTTTAAATGTGCGAACATGAATTTTTAGATGTGCAATTTTTATGTCTTCAATATATATATTTATAGCATGTGCTCACAATTATCACGACTCGTGATACAATGATTTTAAATTATACAAGTATGCTGTAGCTATTAAATTTTACATAATGTTCTTACAATATGTCCAACATATTTTTCTTAAACATAAGTGATATAATTTTATTATTTTATGAGAATTATAGAATCTGAATTTAAAGAAAATTAAAAATTCTAATATATTCCAAGATAATTTTATTATTAAAGAGAATGCTTTCTTCGATATCAATACATAATAAATTTTTTCCAAAAGAAAAAAATTTGGCATAACATTAATCTCGTAATTCACCAATAAATTACAGGAAACGCAGAAAATTATAAAACTATATGTAGAAGTTATAAACCTAGAAAATTACTGTTATGAAACAAGATTTTATCCTCACTACTTTGCATAAAAAACGCATATGATTAAAAAAGTACAAAAATGATTCTGCTGGACACACCGGTCTGAATGCATTGCCATTAGTTTAATTATCTACACAAATTTATGCGCGATCGCTCGGAAAACTCGTGTACTAGTAAAATGAACATTCTGTAGATTTTTTAATTCTAATTCTGTACAGTCATGTTTAAAAAAAGAAAAAATTGTCCACAACATCTTTAGTACATGTCACTAAGCTATTTTAACATCGATGTCGATAATAAAATACCACAAGTTAGGTATCTACTTAAAGAGATATCGCATCTGTGTTTGCGTTCGCATGATACGTCCTGACTTATACAGAATTAGAATCGCTCTCTATATTACAGCGAACATGATCATAATGCACGACGAAAACAGCTTAAGGTCTATGCCAGTAAATAAATTGCTTCGTGCTACGTCAATTTACGATACGGGATTATTTATTTCTTACGAATAGGATACGTAATATAAGATGGGAAGACGAATAGCCGGCGAAAGAATAAGATGCCAAGTAAATTGCCGAGCAACTTGGCTGGTACTCTGGCTCTCTGACAGAAAGCAAAGAGATCTATATATTCGCATTTTATAACTTATAATTTAATCATGGCGAGCTGTGTCAATGAGCGCATAACTGATACTATTTATGCTATCTGATTATGTCACCAAGATCATACAAAAGATTAAAATATCATTCCGATCCAAACGAATAAATTGTTAGACTCATAAGCAATTTTTTATGTGAACAATATAATATTAATTGATCTAATAAAAATAAAAACTAAAAATAAGTGTCTAAGGATTAATTAAATGAAAGCCTCACAGAATATTTATATATAAATTGAAATATTATAAATATTATTAAAATATTATTTATATTAAATATATTAGAATAACATGATCTAGCGTCTGGCAAATACCTGAATAAGAATTAAAATAATAGTATATTTATATTAGTAAAAAATTAATAGTAAAGAAATTTGAGAAATAGAAATATAAATGTAATTACTTTTATTTATAAAATATAAATGTAGATAAGAACGAAAATCCTGCTTTTCTTGACAAATTAATATCCTTCTGCTTGACAAATTAATTTCTCAATAAAGAGCAAAATCTGTTATTCTAAAAATAAAAATTACTTTCCTTTCAAAACACATTAATTAAATCGATAAATCAAAAGATAATTAAATAAAGTGTAAGATAATAAAAAATTAATTTAATAAAATAAAGATAATGATAGTGATTTGATAACAAAGATAATAACAATGAGTTTATTTTTAAAATGTAAAAGATTTATATTTTAAAAAAACATTTTTTCGTATCATATAATATTTAATTAAAAAATTTTCAAAAATAAATCTTTATCAAACCACTCATTTTCAAACAATGTAATAATGACGAGATATTATTACAAATGAATGTTTCGTTAAAGCAAACTTATGACTTTTCGATTAAATATATCTAATCATTAATCATACTTATACTTGACTTGTGTCTTTTCCTTCTAAAGTGAGTATTTCATCTTGATTTAAAGCGTAGTAAAATTACATTCTTACGCAATAAAATGATCATAATAAAAGAACGATAAATCTTTTGATGTTAAATATCTAATAAAATCATCATATTAAATAAAAATCATCATATTAAATAAAAATCATCATATTAGAATAAAAGAGAAATCGATCAAATTTCAATCCTTTAAAAGGACTACGTATCTTCGATTGTATGCTGTGATAATTCAGATAGGAAGTTCAGCAAGTATAGAAACTCCAGTAGAGAGAAAGTCCGGTGGGGTCCACAGGCAACGACGCCGATCATGTTCAGTTGGTCCCGGTCGTTCGTCAAAATCGTTTCGTCTCTCTCGCTGCTCCCTCAAAGACATCGTTAGCGTCTTCGATAAGAATGATCAAAATAAACTCGTGTACTCTCGCACGTGATTACATCAGTGTTGATCAGCATTCTTAAAGTGATAGTTGTTGGCACGCGTTTTGATTCTTGGTTGCTCCTTTTTCTTTCTTTTCTAGAAAAATAAGGAACATATTAAAAGTAAGAAAATAATAAATTTGATAACATTATTAATAATAAAAAAAGTCAAAGATAATAAATAACACGAAGAGCGTTATTTAGAAAAATTAACAAAGAGGGCGATTCATTCTCGAGAATTCGGCTTGGAAAGTGTAATTTTCATTCAACATTTTATCTCACTTTCGCGTTGTATTGCATGTGATGCGCATACAAATGAGGAATGTTGCTTAGTGCCTAGTAATTTGCATGGTCATCGTTTATTTTCCACACGCTGTATTAGTTAATTTGTCACCGATCAAGATATTACAAAGGTATTACATAGAAATATTGTGCATATTATTATACATAAAGTATTCCAGACATAATCTCATTAATACCGGCATCTCTCTTAAACAAGATCATGTCCTCTTTCTTCTTAAAAGAAAGTTTTGAAAGTTTCATATCGCTCGAATATTTAAATAGCTTTTTAATGAAGGAAAATATTTCATTATGTTAAAAGAGGAAGCATAAATTAGACAGATACGTGACATTATTGTTTATCAAATAGAATTAGTTTTTGCTTGAAAGACATAACAGTCTCGCGAACGCGGTTTTGAAATTCTTGGCAAATCTCATTGTCAGTGTTAGTTCCGCAATAAATCATGACTAGATAAACGGATAAGGTCTTTGTAAATGTGGAAAAAAGAGAAAAAAAGTTTTGTATATACAGAGTCCCAATTATCTTCCGTCATCTTTCGAAGACAGATTCCTGGGATCATTTGAAGACGATTTTTCCTCAGCGAAAATGTCAGTGAAGGCCACCATTTTTTGCATGTTTCCGATTTTTGCTATCATATATCTTTGCAATTAAGTTTTAAATTAAAATTCAACTAAAGTAAACTCTATTTAAAATTAATCAAAGAATGGTTTTGTTAATATTTTATTTCTATTATTTTCTAATATTTTATTTCTAAGCTTAGTTTACGAAAAACCTCTTATTTCCAATCACTTATAATTCGAAAATTATTAGTGCCTCAACATTTTCATTGAGGAAAAATCGTCTTCAGATGATCCCAGAAATCTGTCTTTGAAAGATGACGGAAGATAATTGGGACACTCTGTATATAGAAAAAAAAATTTTTTTTAATCTTTTAAAAAACACTGCATATAATTTCTTTCATTCTATACATTGACAAACTATATATTGACAATTATTCTATATATTGACAATCATTAAGTACGAAAAAGAAATTTAAAAAATTATTATAATGTAATTATTAAATTAAATAAAATACTAACATTCTTTCAGAGAGACTTGCACATTGGAAGGATGCTGTAACAACTTGACTAATATGAAAAAACCGAGTCGACAATAACTAATTAACATACGCAACAAAAACGTGCCTTATCAGAATTACAAATAAGAAGATAAGCGAGGCACAAAGGAGAGATTAAGTAATCAAAATAAGACGTCGGATTAGTGATCAAAGATGACGATTACTTCACTCATAAATTGTTGCGCTATCACGTTGCTGATACTTGTCAGTAAAACTTTGACAAATCCGACATTACGAAAGGATGAAGAATTCACCATCAGAATCGTTCACACGAATGACATGCATGCGAGGTAGGTAGTTTTTTTACAGAAAATATTTCAATTAAAATTAAAATTCGAAATACGCTGCTCTTTTTTTCTCGTTAAAAATTTGACTGTATTAAATGAAGAAATTAATTCTACATTATTTAAATAAATTAAACATTATTTACAATATATAGTGATTTTCTCAGAAGCCAAACCGATCGATTCTACTCTTTTTCTTCATCAATTTCTTCACTGGTTTACTTCGAAGAGATAATATTTGCTCTTCGTATATCTCACACATGTACATTATAATTTTCTGTAATTTTGTGTCACGCTATCAATAATTATCGTCGTTACGTTAATTACGAATGTTAAGACAGTTAATTACATCCCGCGCCCAGTTGCTAATTAAATATGCGTATGTGTGATCTTACGCAGACGAATGTAATTTAACGAGAAAATTTTATTCATTCCTTCGAGCTCATCATTTATGTAATAATTAAAAATCATAGCTTATGCTGAATGTTTAAAATTAAGTCTTTGCTGCGGAACCTTGCTCCTTAGATTCGAAGAGACGTCGCAATTATCGACAGCCTGTACGCCGCAAGACGCTGCTGTCGGGAAATGTTACGGTGGTTTTGCTAGAATCGCAACTTTGGTCCGGCAAGCAAAATCGGAATCACCATCGACAATCTTTTTAAATGCTGGAGATACTTACCAAGGGACCGCCTGGTACAACGTGTATAAGTGGGAGGGGGTGGCTTGGTTCATGAATCTCTTACAGCCGGACGCTATAGTAAATATCAGCTGTATTTAATTCTCGAGAAATGTAATTTCCTAGATTAGTTATTAATTTGCAAAAACTGTGCTATTCATTCTATATAAATAGATGAATTATATGTAAATATATGCAAATAACATTTATTTTGATAGAGATGTAAATAGAAAGAAAATTAATTGTTTCTTTTTCATAAAACATGTTTTTTTTTTTTTTTTTTTAAAAAGAATATGTTTTAACTTAATATAACTTTTTTTTTTTAAAAAGCAACAAGATTCATTTTTTTCAAAGTTTTCTTTATATATGTATTTTTAACCATCATTAAAGAGTAGCAAAGTCGGCTTCTACCAATCATTTGCAATTCACGAATGTAAATATCTTATAAACTAAAAACTAACTGCTCTTTTATTTTTTGTGTTACCTTTTTTGAAAAGAATTTTAATGGATGGATGAGTTAAAATAATATCACACACATAATTCAGATAATTTTCAGTTAAATGTATAATAAGATTTTCTATTTTTAATTTATTAAAATTACTTTTGGAAGAAGATAAATTAAAGCATAAGAACTTTAGAGAGAATTTTATTATTATATTTAAAAAAATTTGAAGAAAAATAATATTATGTTAAAAAATAATAAAAAAAATTAATTGGTTTCTTTATCTATTAAAAACAGTTCTTTTACATCTCTATTTATAAGAAATATGATTAAAATTGTCATGTATATTATTGAAATAACATCGACTTTTTTGTATCGTCTTACATTACTTACGATTGAATTCTGACAGTCCTTGGGCAACCATGAATTCGACGACGGCGTCAAAGGTCTGATACCCTTTATACAAAACGCCTCGTATCCTATCTTGACGGCGAATCTCGATCTCTCCAAACAGCCGAATCTGGCCGCCACGAATCTGAAAAACAGTACGATTCTCGAAGTTAGCGGCAACAAAATCGGTATAATTGGTTACCTCACACCGGAAACGAAGATCCTGTCGACTACGGAGAATGTGATCTTCAAGGACGAAGTGGAATCCATTCAGCGTGAAGCCAAGAAGCTAAAAGAGCAAGGTGTCGACATCCTCATTGCTCTGGGACATTCGGGCTTCGAAACTGATAAGAGGATCGCTCGGGAAGTCGAAGATATCGATCTCGTAATCGGCGGTCACACCAATACTTTTCTGTATCGCGGCAAACCGCCAGATGTTGAAGTACCGGAGGGTTTTTATCCAACGGAAGTGACACAGAAGAATGGCAGAAAGGTTTATGTTGTTCAGGCGTACGCCTACACCAAGTATCTGGGTAATTTCTCCGTCAGTTTTGACATTAGAGGAGAAGTAACACATATCGAGGGAAATCCGATTCTTGTGGACGCCAATGTGGAGCAGGTGAATATTTAAAAAAAGACATAACAAAAAGATCGCAAAAAATGGTGAGAGAAAAATAATTAATATTAAAAAAATTATGTAGCTAAAATATTCAATATATGCATGTATATACAATGAGGCACTTAAAGTGTTAAAATATGTTTTCTCTGAAATTTGACAATAATAAAAAATTTTTTAAACGAATAATAAAAAATATAAGACTCGAAATATAAAATTAAACAAATCAGTTTTAATGGAAATACGAGTCAAATGTCGATCTTATAACACAGTTATTTAAATAACTGTGTTGCCATTAAAACTGATTTGTTTTATTTTTTGAAAAAATTTCTAGAATTTTGAGAAAGCGAAAAAATTAATAATCTTGAATTTTAAATAAAGTCATTTTTCAGTATATAATTTCATGTAAAAATCAACGGTATTCGGCGGAAAAGTTATAAGGATGGGATGGCCAAATATTGAGTAGTTTACGAGATATTTTACACCTTAACTTGACACAATTTTACATAAAATATAAATTATAAAATAAAATATTTATAAAATATTTATTTTTCGATTATCTTATTTCGATATTTTTATGTATAAAATAATAAAAAGATATAAAAAAAATTAGGGTAGTTTCACTTAAAAAAAACTATATTAACTTTCACAAAATTTTGACACAAAGATTAAACTATCTTTTTTCGCTTGTCAAGTCAAAGTTTTATTTAAAATATTTATTGTTATAATACGTACTTTCAGAAATAATAACTTGTAATATTTTAAATGCCTCACTCTGTATAATACACAAAATATACACTATAGAAAAATATATTTATAATAATTGCATATGAGAAGTATAATAATTGTATATGAGAAGTATGAAAAAAATATGTTAACATATATAAATTACAAAATTTTAAATTTATGATAACTTTTTTATTATTTTCTAAGGCAAAGGACGTTTTAAACTTGATAACTGAAAAGAAAGGACCCATTGACGCTCTGGAACATGAGGTAATCGGAAAGACACGAGTGCTCATCGATGGAGACAGCAAAAATTGCAGACGACAAGAATGCAACATGGGAAATTTAATCTGCGATGCTATAATCGATTATGTAAGTTTTTTAATTAATTTAATAATGAATGTCTCTCTCTTTCTTCTCTCTCTCTCTCTCTCTCTCTCTCTCTCTCTCTCTCTCTCTCTCTCTCTTTTTAATAATGTATCTTTTCTTTGCAGTATGCCAGCGAGTACTTGAGCAAGGATGGATGGACGAATGCTGCCATCGTTATGCTAAACAGCGGTAACATCAGAGCGTCTATCACCAGAGCGAGAAATGATGAGGTAATTAATTATGCACATTTCTCTTTCTTTTATAGTCTCTTTTCATTTTCATTTGTAAACGCAACATTTACAGGTCACCCGGAAAGATATTATAAGCGTTTTACCCTTCGGAAATGTCGTTGTTAAAGCTTCCGTGACAGGGAAACAGATTCTTTCCATGTTAGAATGGAGCGTTCATAATCTCGACAATATAACTTCTACCGGCAATTTATTCGGCGCTTTTCTACAATATTCAGGGTTACAGGTAAAATTTACTTGAAATTTATTATCTGAAAATACCTGCGTTATATCTTATGAACATTATTTATTTTCAATTCCCACTTATTCAATTATTCATCAATTATTCAATTATTCACTTATTCATCAATTATTCAATTATTCACTTATTCAATTATTCGATATCAAAAATTTGAATAGCTAGTATGTATAGCTACTCTAATTCACATCAATGATCAACTTGTATTATTTATACAGGTGACCTATGATACAAGACGACCACCGAATTCGAGGGTGGTTTCCGTTCAAGTAAAATGCGCCGCTTGTAGAGTACCAACATATAGCAAACTCCAAGAAAATAACACTTACAATATCCTCGTAAACAATTTCCTTGCAAAAGGCGGAGATGGTTATCATATGTTGGAGAACGTTGAAACAATTCCGCTGAGTATGTTTATACATATATCGCATAACATTCGTATTTTATATATGATATTTTTTAATTCCATCATCTAGAGAGTAAATAGAAAAAACATATTCTTTTATGTAATTATAATTTTTAATTAGATAAATTCTCCAAAAGTAAATTAAAATTGAATGAATTGTCTTTATTGTAGATATGAAAACATAGTTTGTAATTTTTTAAAATGTATTTTAGTTACTATTTTAATATGATAAAAAAACTAAAATTTTTATAATTTTAAAATTTCTTCTTATCGAAAATAAAATATTAATAAGATTTTTGCGATTAAAACGATTCCAAAACGATATAATTAGGATAATTTTCAATTAGATAATAAAAATTTTGACTATTTTTTGCAATCTAAATAAGAAAATTATTCAAATCATATGATGTTTTATGTAATATACCGTAAAAGTTTCATTAATTCATTAAAATTACATTCAAAAGAGATATATAAATTAAAAAGATAGAATTTTAATTTTTGTGAATATTGAAGAAAAATATGGAGAAATAATATATTTTAAAAAATAATGAAAATAATTAAACTTCTCTTTTTTAATAAAAATAGACATGTTTTTTCAACATTTATTTTCTATTAAAATATAATTTTTTCGCATTTTTCAATACTACCATTATATTATATCTATCAAAAATTTATCACAATTATTTTACTTCAACAGGTATCACTGTAGTGGATGTATTAGAGCAATATTTCAAAAAACACAGTCCAGTATATCCAGGAGTGGAGTGGAGAATTTCATATGTAAATGATAATAATGTCGGGACGATGGATGTAAATAACAATAATTTCGGGACGATATACCGACCAATCGGAATAACGATTCTTTTACCAATCATTATTTGGCTATTGACATAAGAAAAATGCTATTTAAATGAGATTCAAATTTAACATGATTAAATATCAATTTGTGATTAGGTGATTATAATTAAACAAATTATAAATCTTGAATATTTTAATAGGCTATATTATCTCTTATAGTCTTCCTTCTCCCCCTCATAATCCCTCTGTTCCTTTTTTATTTCAATATTATTTGCAATTTATTTACTATGATTTATTAACAGAGACTAAAAACATATATGAGAAGCATGCATGCAAAATTTAATAAATCCTTATGATTTAATATCGAGAAAGAGAATTTATTTGTATAGATTAAATATTATATATATAGTGATGTAACATCAATACTAATTTTTTTAGTAATACTTGGAACTTTTATAGTATTTATCTACACGAAATAGAAAAATATAAACAAATTAAATATTATAGTCCAAAATCATGCTTTATTCATTTTCAATTTTTTTTATATTGATTTTGTACGCTTCTTCATTTCCATAGGAATATATATGCTTTTACTCTCTGTTCTCTATTTCTTATAAGAATTATGTATAAGACAATGGAAAAAGTGAAAAACACAAATTTAATACATATTATTCATTTTATAACTTTAACATTTTAAAAACATTGCATTTGTTAAAATCTTAAATTTAATAAATATAATTAATATATGTAACTATTATAATATATATTTGAATTGTATAAATATAATAATCTCTAAAATATTTTCTTGTCAAAAAAACTATCATGCATGAAACAAAAAAAAGTATTAATCTCTCCCTCTTAAAAGATCTGTCATATATTTAAAAAAATATTAATCTCTCTTTTTCTTTTAGGAAGCCTCTGTATGCATTAATCATATATCAAACAGTAACAATAGCATTGTTTTGTCAGTCAAAAAGTATAAATAAGATTCACTTTTGATAAGTGTATATTTTTGGTATTTGAAATCTATTCCCATTTAAATCGTATATGCGTTTTAATGTCTCGATGACATTACTCATTTCCTCGCAAGGCATCGGTGCATATTTATGTAGTATTTGTATCATCTTCAACAAGTCTTCGATAATATAAGGTTTATCTTGCACGTTGCCTTCTGTTGCTAGATCAACATATCCATTAAATTTGCGCAATGCTTTTTTTATCTTAGTCTTGTCCTCCGCTTTCTTCACTAAAGTCTGCAATTTAGAAGATAGATATGATATTATTAAAGTTCAACTATTTCATTTACTAATTAAATTATTATTATTATTTACCTTAAATGACTGTAATTCAAAATACACAGGCCAGTTTTCTTGACAAGCAATACAATCACAGGTGAAAAAATACTGTTTGAATAACTTCTGTTGTCTCGTTGCTTTCGGCATAAGAGCATAATGTTGACCATAATTGTCAAAGAGCTATAATAAAATATAATATTGATATGTAAAAAGAGAATGTATTTTATAAAAAATAATTGCAACAAACTAGTTTAATACCTGTTCGCCCTTTCGAATGGGAAGCATGGCATATATCACCATGTGCTTAGATCTCGAATGTCTGAATATATTTGGATTACAGCTGTGATTAATCAAACTATAAAATGGCATTGCAGCTATACCGCGTTCTACACATTCTAAGCCTTGCTCTTCGCTGAACTGCAAATATCAGATTTACATGGCAAATTGATAAAGAAAATTGTAAAAAAAAAGTGGACGATAAAAAATTATTATTGACACACCTGCGAAAGTAGATAAATAGTAAATAAAAACACACACACAATCGATGTTCGTTAAAATACTTAGCCAATGTCATACAGTGTGAATATTGCTGGGAATTATCTGTTGATATCTTAAAATGAGGCCTCCAAAAAACGTAGCGTCGTCGTTTTTCGCCAAAACGCTTAAATCTTCGGGTAATTTAGCACCAAACATCGCAGTACGTGTCGCTAAGAAATACAAGATAAAGCAACTATCCACAGACCTCCTAAATAAATCGGGAAAAGGTCTCTTCTCGGTATTCGTCACAAGACTACATATGCTAAAATATTTATCGCTATGCAATTTTCCGTCTTCAGAGAAACCTTTTGTCCGTGGATCTGAAACAATAGCATTACATATATGCCATTATACTAATAATAAAAAAAAAAGAAAATGAAAATTTTAAATACCATCCCATTCATCAAGTTTCTTCAGCATGGTTCTTAATTCTTTTATACCACCAGCTTCCCTCATAGCAAGCACAGCAAGCCTCACGCTAAGTAAATCAATATTATAACAGGAATATTCGATCAAAGCAGGGAAAACAGCACATTCCACATCGTGACATCTTTTCCATTCAGCATATCTGCACTCCTCTGAGCAATACATAGCATAAGTGCAATAATTGCAAGGTATATTTGCCCAGCATACTTTCAAGCAATTTGAACAGTGAGTCTGCATGTTCTGTTGCACTAATAACAATGCGTAAGGCTTCTCCACAGCAATCACTTCGCCAGGATTAATATTACGAGTAGCAATAACATGTCTGCCACAGCGAGTATTGTATTTTATAGCTACTGCATCTGATGCACATGGAACTTCATCATTGTAGGATGCAATGGTGGGAAGAGGAAGTTCACTTCCCAATTTCTTCACTTCTGTGCACAGTGAATTATCTTTAACAGATTGTTCTGTTTGTACAGCCTTAGAATGTAAGCTATCAAGTTTTAACCGCAATTTTTCTCGATTCGCATGATTCAAAGTCATTTTATCTAGCCAATGCTGTGCTTCCTTCAGAATGTCCTCCACAGAACAATTTCCCAAAATCATCAAACATTCTGTTTTACGCACATAAAGTTTAGCTCTTAGATCATCAGGATAATTTAAGGCCAATGCTCTATCAATATCTTGAATACATTCTGAATGTAAACCCAATTGAAATAATACTGCTGATCGATTGGCATAGGCAAGAGCAAGTTGTTCAGATGGATAAGGAGCAAAGGCTATACTCTTTGTATATAATTTTAGGGCATCGATGCATGTCATATTATTCAAGGCTCCTTTGATAAAAACCTTATTGCCTTGCTCCCGCAATTTCTCGGATTCTTTGGCATTTTTTGGCATACCAGTTGCATTAAGAACTATATCATATTCAAGCATAACATTGAAAGTAGATATTACACGTTCTTGATCAGTCTTAAGTTTCTTATATTTATCTGTGAGTTCATGCTGCTTGTTTGCTGCAAACACTTTGGCATTAACCATTTCTGTTATCTTATCCATTTTGTTTTTTTAAAAGTATATTACTCTAATATTTGTGTAATAAAATCTAGAAAAAGAAAAACGAGTAACAATATAAATGTAAGATGATAAAAACAGGATTTGCAAATTATTACCGTTTGGAAGATTTCAAATATTTGTTGAGTAAAATATTAATTTAAGGCTCCATGGACAGAAGAATTATATTAATTAAGATTAATAATAGGCATAGACATAGTAAGTATAGACCGAGCGGGTGGCACTCGATTGACCACGTCGCCAATTGGCCAATTCAAAATAGGACTCTCTGATTGGTTAATCGTTGCTGGTTACCCTAGGCACAGGTCGATATAATTGGCTGTGGTCAATCGCAACGTGGTCAAACGGGACGCTCCCGACCGGAGCATCCATTGTATAAGCATACGAAAAGAAAGACAAAAAAAAGATGTAAGATGAGTTTCTTTCTCTTTTCAATGCCGGAGAAGTGGGGAGCACTTCTCCTTATCTCCTCGCCCCTCCATGACGAACCGGTGCGAGAAGATGTGGAGAAGTGCTCCCCACTTCTCCGGCATTGAAAAGAGAAAGAAACTCATCTTACATCGTTTGTCTTTCTTTTCGTATTCTTAACGCTTATACAATGTATGCTCGGTCTATACTTACTATGTCTATGATCTTATCTTATTGAGATCAAAATTGCGGTACTTTGTTAATCTAGTGACTTTACCCGCGAGAATGTCAAGATTCGTTCGAACGCGTGACGCGCGTAAACATAATACACGCATGTATGTGCGCCAACAGCTCTTTTAAGAAAATACTCAGAACTGAAACAGTTTCACCAACTGGTCAATTGACGAGTTTTTTGTATCAGTGATTGGTAGAACTGTCTCATATATGAAATAATTGAATTGAACTTTTTTGAAAAGTTTATTCGTCGTTGTCGCGATATTAACGTCCGGAATAAGTGGAATATATTTGTAAGTTATATACAATTTTATTATTAATAAATAGTTGATTGCTCTCGAAATACGATACTCGATTATACGATAGGAATCAAAATTATAAATTATTACTTTGTTGCAATCTTTACGAGCAATGATTATTCTTCTATTTCTATTTCGTTTCTATCCTAATATATATGTGTACACACACACACACATTTAGAATTCTAATATAATAAATAAATATTCTCTCTGATATCATTTGATCTAAATATAATTTGATTCAGAACGCGCAATAAAATGATCGAATAAAAATCGGATAATTAACATAACGGAAATATATATTTTTAAAGTTATATACAAGTGTATTTATATACAAGTATATCTTTAAAGTTACACACACACACACACACACACACACACACACACACACACACACGTACACATGGATTAATAATTTATTAAACACACATCTTTAAAGTCACACTCACACACACACGTATACGTACACACGGATTAATTATTTATTAAACGATTAATATACTTCGTGAAGTTATTTCCATTTTTATTTTCTCATCATAATAAAAAATTTTACATCGTTTATCAAAAGTTTAAATTAGATTTAAAAGTATATTATTGTTTCTTTTCGATAATAATTGATTATTTCACTGTACCTATTTCGTGAATAGCTATCATTACAGAGATCGCGTAGAGTTTGACAATGCAATAAAATTAATAATAAAATTCCAATAAAATTAAATACAAATTAATTATAATAATTAAATATAAATTTGTTTATAATTAACTTTTTCTACGTTGAGAAAAGTTCTTCGTTTCTTTTGGAATACCTTAAAGATTCTTTTAATTAAATTTTACAAAATATATAACTATTAAATTTATAGTATTTAATATTTAGAAATAAATAGATAATATTTCATTTTTATATAGATTAAGTATACGATATTATTTATTAAAAGAACTAATATATCTTTTATGGATCTTTTTGTTAAGTTAATTATTTAGATCTACGATTCGATTGTTTTACTGCATTTCAATCCGAATTATATATTTAAATGATTGAAAAATAAAACGATAATAAAATAATAAGCAATATATATCTATTTTAAAAATAGTGTATATAAATAATAAATAATAAATAATTTTTATAAATTACTGACCGCATGTCTCTGGCTGCTTCAGGCTCTCTCCCTGCTTTCTTACTGTCCGATACTTTTCCAGATGTCCTTTTCTTTTGTTGTTTCATCCTTTGTTGTTTCCTCGTAGCAGTCACGTATTCACTCGCGAACAAACAATTATATTTCAGTTAATTATATTTCAGTCATATACAGAAACGATCGCGAGACACTTTGCACGGCACTCCCGATCGCAAAATAATCATACGAGATATGTATTTTTATAATATTATTATTATTTTATTATTATTGCAAGAGAGGAACATAAAAATTACAATAATTCGCTCGATTTTTAAACGAAGCCAAAATCATTCGATTCTTACACTAATTAACTATTTCTATTTGTTGATGTATAATATATGCATAATAACGTGAGTCATAAGATTAAAATATTAAAGTAATGTAAATTGATGATACAGCAATCGTTTAATTAATATGATATATATGCATGCAGTTTAGGAAAGTTTAAAACATCGGGCGAAATCGAATTTCATTCTACGCAATATTAAAGAAATAATTATTATTCGTAAAGTTCGATAATCGGAGAATATTGCGAGAAAATTTGTAATTTTTGCCCCTTCACTTCAATTTTTATTTGCAATAATATTTGCAATAATGAAAGATCGCGTTTTGATGAATTTATCGTCGCCACAATTGCATTTATTATAAGAGTTAATTATTTGTCATTTGTAATAGTCGAATTATTATATTTCGATCTAATCGCGATCGTACCTTTAAGAAAAGAATTCGATAATACGGAGCGGTCCGTATCGCTACTTTCTCCCGTTGGAATGTCGCCGTGCGAATGAGGGGAGGTCGTCGCGTATGTAAACAATAGCGCGCTACGTCACAAGGCCAAATGACGTCACAAGGTCGAATGACGTGTTAGCTCGCTGCCGAAATATTTAACGCGTACTGTGACGTATGTGAGAATTGTATTTATATACAAGTATATTTTTAAAGTCACACACACACACACACACACACACACACACACACACACACACACACACTCACGTACACTGAGAAAAAAAGTTGTTAACTCGACTAAACCGTTTAACTAAATTATTTTTTTTTTAATTGAAATATCGAAATATTTAAGTTAAATAAATGTTATGTTAGATTTATAATAGTTAAATATTCCAATTAAAAAGATAATAATTTAGTTAAATGGCTTAGTTAAGTTAACAACTTTTTTTCTCAGTGTACACAGTTTAATTATTTATTAAACCTCACGAGATGTATTAATCGTTTAATAATATAAGTGTATTTATATCCAAGTATATTTTTAAAGTCTCACACACACACACACGTACATTGAGAAAAAAAAGTTTTTGTTAACTCAACTAAACCGTTTAACTAAATTATTATTTTTTAAATTAAAATATTGAAATATTTAAGTTAAATAAATGTCATGTTAGATTTATAATAGTTAAATATTCCAGTTAAAAAGATAATAATTTAGTTAAATGGTTTAGTTAAGTTAACAACTTTTTTTCTTTTACAATTAGTCTTTTCTCTGTCTACTATTTGATTGTTTTATTACGCTTTTAGAAAGTAAAGTTCTATAATGTAACTTTTAATTTTGTATTTCATATGAAATTATTATTTTAAACATAATAATTTTCTTTCTTTGCATTTCTATCATGAATAGACATTTCCAACCTTTACTAAAAATATCCCTCAATTTTTTCTCTCTTTGGACAATTTATTTACATTTATATATAATTCTCTTTATTCCTTTAAAAGTGAACATCGAGAACAAGGCACACGAGTATTGTAAATGTCAAAAAATGATCGCGCGAATATTATAGTTGTGAATAAATAAAAATAAATGCAATATAATATGAATTTTCTACGTTATATATTGAATCGAAATTGCACAAAAGAGGAAAAGAAAAACAAGCCTATGAATAGGCATTTCCATTTTTTATTAAAAAATTAAAAATATCTCTCAATTTTTTCTCTCTTCGGATAATTTATTTACATTTACATATAATTCTCTTTATTCCTTTAAAAGTGAACATCGAGAACAACTCTCTTTCTTCAGGCAAGTCTACATATATGACCAATATGATTAATTGATTCCATCTTTATATATTTATCATTATGTGCTATTAATTAAAGTCGTAGACAATATTTCAGAAATCAAAGTTGTGCGAACGTTGCAAGAATGACCATGCGCAGAAACGAATGCGCAGTGGTTCGGCCGCCATGTTGGCGCGTGACGCTCGTCACTGCTACGTCACTGCTACGTCAAACGCGTCATACGGCCGCCATGTTGGCGCGTGAATCGGAGTCATACGCAGTTACACGGATCGTCGTACGTCCGCATTTTTCGCATCTTTTAACCGTTTTTAAACGAATATTGCGAGTAAACGAGCGTCGAGAGTGTCGAAGGATGATCGCGCGACTTTTATAGTGTGTCGATGGATACGCGCGACAGCGATTTTTGACGATATTCAGTGATGGCGTCATTGCAAAGATGGAGCGAAGTTGCGTCGCGTTATTCGCGCCCTTGATGATGATTATCGGATGCGAGCGAATATCGGGAGTGCCGAATAAAGTGTCGCGCGTTCGCGTTGATGATATCGTGTGGATTTGTGTGCATCAAGATCGGAATAGGACGTCCCGAGGCGAGCGAACTGTCCCGAGGAGGAGCGGCCTGTGGAACAGCCGGTGAGTAGATTTGATTTATCATATTTGCGTGATAATTTGTGCTCATTCGACGCTTATACAGCATCGCGATGTCCCGAATTACATTCGGACAAATCGGCGCCGCATCATAATTCGATTCGGTGCAATTCAAATAAGTCGATCGCGTGAAGATGATTATGCTAGAAGCGATTTGAATTTTGTATACGCGCGCGCAGTGCTGCACAGCCTATCTCGTAGGGTTGCCGACTGTTAAACGATAAATTTGTTTGATCTAACCTAACCTAACCTCTCAGTGTCTTTGGATATCGAATGTAAACACAAGCGTATGCTGCCTGGATTGTATCATGCTTTAAAAAATAATATTTAATTATTTCATTAGTGTATTACATTTTATTACGTAGTATATTAATCGTATTAAATGTGTGACGTACAGTTTTACACATTTTAATGAGTAGCACATAATATAATTGGTTAGGTTAGATTAAATTAAAACAAGCTGCTGTGATTCATTTAACGTAATAGGATTAATTTAACGAATGTGCAGCTATTGAAGTTACATGATATTTGTGGACACATTTTTAAAGTAATCATGAGTGTCTTATCACATCTCGATTACATGAAATTAAAATATAAAATATTTATGTATTCCACATTAACGTTATTCATTACAAGTACTATATTACTACATTACAAGTACTTTTCTTATATCTCAATCATATTCAACCATTTATTTCATCGGTGAAGCTTTTCATATATCGCAGACAATATGATACTGCGTGTGGAATTTTACACAGGTAATACATGGCACAAAAATAATTTGCTCTCAAGTATTGTGTGCATTTCTCAAAAATAAATCAAATTAAATTATTTTCAGAATCCAAACATCGCTACATTGCCAGGATTGTATCTTATTATAACTGCGATATTATCACCTTTTAATATGTGTGCGCAGTATTACATACATAAAATATATAAATTTATTTGAAACGTACTGAAATCTTTATCTTATTTATAATATTCGTGATATTATAAAAGAAAATTGCAACTCTAATGAAACAGAGCGATGGAATAATTGGTTGATTGGTTAATTGCAGGTAATTATGGTATACTTATATATTGTAAGAAAGAGAAAATAAAATTAAAGTTGAATACTGAATGTGCTCTAAAGTAAATCTCATCTAAATAAATAAATGCATAAATGTGCGCCCCACATTCCTCATGAAAAAAATACATAATATTAATTTTTATGTATTATTATTTTTAGATTTTTATTCTTTTAAATTCTCTAGATGCACTTTTCATTTCTCCTCTCTTTCTTTCCAACTACTAAATATAGATCTATCATTTTTAATATAGATCTGTCATTTTTAGTGTACATTATTGCAGTAAGTGGAATAAAGAGCAAATCTTTTGGCACATTTAAAATGTACAGGAAAGTCAGTTTTATCTGATGCGTTTTTTTCAATAGAAATATTTGAAAGAAATGCATACGTCTTTTTTAATCTTAGTCTTTCTAAATAAAAATTAGAATAATAAATTTGCAAAATAATTTGCTTTAATATATTTTTATTGCAAACATATGAAGCAAAGTGCTCAAGGTGCATCACTGAATCGATGAAAACATCGATAGAATAAAAAATAGATCGCATACAAAAAAATTAAAATATTTACATTACATATTTGATATTTCTGCAAATATTTCCATTATTTTGAGATTGATTTATTTCATGATATATTGCAACAATTAAAGTATGATTTCTGATATAATCTGCCAAGAGACTGCAGAGAAAGCCAGCTTTAATTCTTTATTTTGTTCAATATTTTTAATAATATAATAATTAAATTAAAGTTCTATGAAAATATGCTTGAAATATTAAATAAAAAAGATTGTTTCTTATGTATAACTTTATACAGTTTAAGTAAACAAAAAATTATTGTTAATAATATACATATATAAATTGATAATTAAATAAAACAATTAATTAATTAATCGACACTATCCACGTTTTTTTTTTATCTTTATGTTTAACATATATATATGTATATATATTTTTATAAATAAAAAATGTTTCTTTTTAATATAAATTAAATAAAAAGTACAATATGCCTTTAAATACTTTATATACATACCTGTTGTAATAAAGAATGCTTTTACATTCCTCCTTGTACTTTGGCATACATATCCTTTATGCCAATTATCTAATTTACATATTAATTGTGTTGCTTTAACTCTTAGAAACAGTGAATATTAACTCAACACAGAAATGTCAAAATAACGCAATGATAATATGTACATTAACATAAGAATATGTTAAAAATTTAACACAAAAATTTTTACACGAGAAAATTTTAACAGAAATACAAAATGTTTTTTACCGTGTATAAATATAATTATATATATATATATATTTTTATAAAGAATTATCTTTTTCAAGAATTCTTATAAAGAAAAGGGTCTTGCTTAAGAATATCGTATTATTTGATATAATTATATTTTCTATTTGGAACTAATTTGTGCGTAAATTAATATATTAGTTTCAATGGTTTGTTTGATGCAACTGAAAAGATTTGTTCTTCCATATAATTAATTCTAAATTAATTGATCGTAGAGATTGAAAGATATTTATCGTGATAATATACAATTGCTAATCGATAGATTTATAAAGTGTTGATTACATCGATTAAATCGATTAAATCGATTAGTTGTTATAATGTAAAGTGATATGCCATTGAATCAAAATGAATTAAATAGGTATTATTAAGGAAAGTACATCCCCCAATTTTAAAGCATTTTTCCCCCCTCTTCTTCTACAATTTTCCATATATAAATTTTTTCAAAATTATTCAATTATTTTATTTAGTTTAGGAGTTTGGTTTTATTTTATACAACAACATTTCGATAGTCTAAGTTTATTTTAACTTGATATATAGAAATCCATTTTAATTAAAACCCGCTTTAAAAGATTATAATTTGCGGTTCGAAATATAATTACATTTATAATTTTACGTGTCATTTAAAATACAAAGAAGTAAAATACATGTATCCAAATTGTAAATATACATATATTACATATATTAGGATATGTCATACATAAAATTATAAATAATATATATATATATATATATATATTTAATAATATATATTTATATATATATACTATATATTTATATGTATAGTATATATTTAGTATGTATATATGTATGTATAATATAATAAGGATTATGTAAATATAATCAACTATATCAAAATGAATATTAAATCTGCATTACAAAGAAAGTGAATACATAAAGGTAAAAATTACTTATAACATAGTTAAATACAATTAAAATATTTTTAACTCTCTCTAAGAACATTCATGGACATTGGCTTTGTAGTTCATGTCCACGTTTTCAATGTCCATAGAGGGAGTATCGCTTTCAGGGATCACCTAAAAGCCATGACATCTCTCTGTCCAACTGATGATATGGTCGCTCTCAGGTTTTTCTCTGCCGATAATATATATATGTTATTTTTTATTAGGAAAATTTTTCTGCTTCTAAAACATTATATTTCAGATTGAATATCTGATCATTTGATCCGGTAATTATTGAATATTAAAAATTTTAGAAAAAAATTCTCTGTCGGGAGGAGGTTGGCTGCGCGCGCCGATGATATCATCGCGCCAATATGGCCGGACAGTGTCGGCTGTCCGCAACGCGACAGTGAAAGCGGGTCGTCCGGGAGGCGCTCTGGACTGGAGATAGGTCCGGGAAGAATATGTCGGACTATCTAAGGTCCGCGTTCGGGTATCTGAACGGCGGCAGCGGTGGCGGCAACGAGTACGTCGGTCAGACGCTGGACATCAACAATGTGAGGCTGAGGGTGACGCGACTGATCGCCGAGGGTGAGTCTATCTGTCTCCGACTGCGTGTCAAATCTCGGCACCTCCTACCGGTGCGATAAGGTGTCGAGCGCGGAATTGCTTGTTTTCCGCATAAAACTGATAACATTGCCGAGAGAAGAAAAAGATAATACGTCTCGCGTCCCCGATCTCGCGTGACATCTGTCATGTGTCAAACGTGTGTTTTGACACGCGACTCGAGCAAATGCTCGAAATTCTATATAGTACTCATTTGATAAATTTATCTTTCTTCTCTTTCGTCATACATATCTTCCTTCTGTTAAATTTGATACTGTTAGTATTTACTGTCAATATTAATGTACTGTCAATGTAATGTAATTGTCGAATTATCAACGCTAATGTGAATTTATTACTCCAAATGAGAAAATTAGACTATTGGAAGGAGATTTATATCTGTATATAAAGGATCCTCTCGAGTTTTGTCAGGTATTTATCTTTCAGTTTAACACCTAATAGACAATTATAATAGACAATTATAATATAATAATTTATAAAAATATTTGGCTGAATTTATTTTCTAGATTAAATGGGCGTTATTTAATCATTCTTGCATAATATATGTATGTATAGCATACATCTATGAGCTATGATAGTAACAAGAGAAATATATAGTTATAATCAAATTATGTATCGTTATTAACATTTAGATAATTTGTGGCAAACATCGTATCAACAGGTGGATGGGCTCTGGTGTTTGCGGTAGAAGACATTACTACAGGAAAAGAATATGCGCTCAAGGTAAAAGAATATGTATTTAAGGTACTTTGTGCATAGATCGTTTTTTTTTCTCACTTGAAATATACTGTAATAAAATTGTTCTTATTTAGAAACTTATCGCTGTCGACGAGGATACGAACAAAACCATTATACAGGAGATAGAAACACTTAAGAAACTGTCTGGTCATCCGAATATTATTCAGTTTTTTTATGCTCAACGGCTGGAACGGGAGGATCGTAAGGGATACGAGTACTTGGTCGTCACTGAATTATGTCCTGGTGGTACCATAGCGGATATACTTAGAAATGTATCTGCGAATACGCTGACTCTAGCCCAGGTATGCAAGGTAGCCTATCAAGCGACACAAGCGGTGCATTACATGCACAGCCAGCAACCGGAACCCTTCGTGCATCGTGACATTAAGCTGGAGAACTTTCTAATCGGAAAAGACGGCCTCGTGAAACTCTGCGACTTTGGTAGCGCGTCGACTCAACAAATATTGCCGAACCCATCATGGAATGCTCAAAAACGCGCTACATTGGAGGATCAAATGGCCAAGTATACAACCCCCATGTACCGCGCCCCGGAGATGATGGACACGTGGAACAATGAACCTATAGGGCCACCAGTGGATTGTTGGGCTTTAGGATGTATATTATATTCTTTGATTACATTGAGACATCCGTTCCCTGAAGGTAAGATGCGATAAAAGTGCAATCTATTAATATAATATAATGTATGGTCTTATACATAAAAGTATAAGACAAGTCGCTACATAAAAACGGAATAAAATAATATTTAAATATATTTCCTGAGGGATTGAAAATATATATAAATATATATTTAAATTTTTAAATTTTAATTTTAAATTTAAAAATTTAAAATTACATTTTAAAAAAACATTTTAAAAAGAGAGTTGTGCCAAGCGGACTATAACTAACGAGTTTTTTTACATAAAAATACATAAAAGTGACTATAACTCGGAAACATCTTATTTCTGAACTTACGTTTATATAGCTTTTTTCCTTCTTTTTGGATTCCGAATCATTTCTTGAAGTATTGCGGGAGATTTTCCGGACACCTTATATATATATACTAATGTATTTATATATAATTTATATACTTAATATATATATTTTATATATAATTTATATTTTTTATATAATTTATAATATAATTTATAAAATGTGTTAAAAAAAAAATAAAAACTATTATTAAAACGGCTATTATTTAACAGTATTCATTCATTTATGCAAATTTGAATATATATTTCAATATTATTATAACAATAGATTCTCTTTCTTTTTATAATATTTTCCTTATCCTGCAGGTAACAAACTAGCAATCGTGAATGGCAAGTATCCACCATTACCACCTAATCCACGGTACGCGTGTCTGAATGACCTGGTGAAAGGATGTCTGCAAGTTTCGCCCATTCAAAGATCAACGACAGCGCAACTCCTGGAACGTCTGGCAGCGATTGCCGAGTCGAACAACTTTGATCCTAGAGAACCACCACAAATCGAAGTCACCGCGGTCAGGCCGTCGCCACCTCCGCGTCCGACGCCGCCGCCGCCACCGTCGTCGTCGTCATCGTCATCATCGTCATCGAATATGCCACCTCCTCGTCCCTCTCAACCGGCAACGATGCCGCCACCGAGACCGGCACCTATGCAGGTGTCCAAAATTCCGGCGACTCAAGCTACAACGGGCCTATTCAATTCACTGAGAGGCGGCGCCGGTAGCATCCTACGCAACCTGAAGGACACCTCCAGCAAGGTGATGCACACTGTTCAGCAGAGCATGGCCAGAACGGAGCTGGATGCGAGTTACATGACGTCGCGCATGCTCGTTATGCCGTATCCAGCCGATGGAATCGAATCCGCCTATCGCGCCAATCACGTGGAGGATGTGAGGGCCTTTCTCCAAGCTAGACATCCACCGCCCGCCAAGATTCAGCTGTACAATCTGTCCCGCGGTCGGCCAAACGTCACGAGACTTCCCGGCAGGCACATCGATTGTTCGTTTGCCTACGCTACACCAGAATCGAACGCGCCTATGCTGTTCGCTCTGTACCAGATCTGTCAGGATATCTATCAGTATTTGAACGCCGATTTCAATCACGTGGTGGTGCTGTATTGTACTGTGAGTACAATCGCGATTACTGAAGCGCGTAATCTCTAAAGCGCAAAACAGTTGACAATTGATCTTTCTTTAGGATGGGTACCGAGCGAGCGCCACGGTAGCGTGCACTCTTCTGATTCACTGCAGAGCTCTGACTACAGCCGAGGAAGCTATCGCCTTATTCACGACGCGACGTTGCCAGCCGCCGCAGCTGCAGCCTTCAGAATTGCGCAGTATTAATTATATGAGTTTATTGAGCAGTGGCCGGTTACCACACACCAAGCCTTTGGTGTTCCGTTCCGTTGTCATACAACCGGTACCGTTATTCACTAGGGCGAGAGACGGATGCCGACCTTACATAGAGATTTATAGCAACGGCGCGTTGGTTTTTACAACCAAGAAGGTCATCTACGAGGAGATGAAGCTATTTGGCATGATGGAGGGCAAAGTCTGCTTGATCTTAGGGGACGCGGCCGTACGCGGTGACGTCACTATAATAATACATCACGCCAGGCAACAGCTGGGTCGCGTGATCGGTATTAAAATCGCCTCGTTGCATTTTCATACCGGTTACGTACCCATCACTGAGAGTGCCTTGACATTTGAGAAGCATGACTTGGACGATGCACCTGAGATCGGTGGCAAATTCCGCATTGTGCTAAACGTCATGATAGGTGAGGAGAATTCAAAGCTATCGAGAGTGCCGGCGCCATGGGAGGCGGAAACATGCATCAACCTTGTCCCAGATCCGCTGTTTGGTTCGACGCTAGAGATGGAGGAGACTCTGGAGAATTTTAGGACCGCTCCTCACCCGGAAGAGGTAGAATATTTTGCCTGTTTTTTGAACAACTTATAATAATTATTATATTTATTTTATTATATTTACAACTCTCTTAATATCAAATAGAAAAAAATCGATGATAATTGTTTACTCTGGTTATTGCAGATTCAGGCACCATCGAACGAAACTGATAATAACATGAAACAACATGAAGCGATACCTCAACAACCGGAAGACCTGAAAGAGGAGGAAGAAGCGAACACGAACGAAGAAATTAACTTTCAGGAAGCTGATTTACTGAATCTGGGCATGCCGGACAATACTAATAGTACCTCAAATACTCCCGCCAGCACGGCGCCAAATCCAGGTTTAGATATTTTCTCTAGCTCTAGTCAAAATGAAAATGATCTCTTGGGCGGTTTCGGTATGTCGGCGCCACATACTGAAACTGCCAACTCTCCCCTGATTAACAATAGCGCCTCGGCTGATTTATTGTTTGGACACGATAGCTCGGCGACGAGAAATAATAGCACTGCTAACAATAATTTGAACATGAATGACCTATTATTCGGACAGAATCAGACAATGTCGAGTAATGTCAAACAAGTCAATGAAATGCTGTTTGACCCGCTGGGTGGAAGTTCCGCGAACAATCTTCTTGGCGGTTTTGCGGCCGCTAAAAGCCCGAATGCCGAAGATAACTTGCCACGAAATGCTAGCGTGCCGAACTTTGCCGCTCAAGCCAATAAAGATCCATTCGCCAATCTGGCTAGTTCGTTGGGAGCAGGTCTCACAGGCAGTTGGAATGGTACGCCGAGGAACTCTAGTACCCCGCAGTCAGCGAGTCCGGCGCCCGCAAGCACGCCGATTCATTCTAGCCCGAATACAATACATAGATCCAACGATGCAAATAGCGCAAATAGCGGTAACACGGATGCGCTTGGTGCTAAAGCAAAGGAGAAGGCGAGCGGCGACGCGTTCGAGGATCTCCTTGGCAGTCAGGGATACAAGTTTTCGCGCAAAGCTGAGAAGGACAGTCCGAAGACAATAAATCAGATGCGAAAGGTGGAAGCTGCTAAGACAATGGATCCTGATAGGTTGAAAATAGCCGAGTGGACAGAAGGCAAGAAAGGAAATTTACGAGCTTTACTCTGCACCTTGCACACTGTTCTGTGGCCGGAAGCTGACAGATGGCAGCGTTGCGAAATGCATCAATTGGTCACAAGCGCGGATGTCAAGAAAGCGTATAGAAAAGCCTGTTTAGTTGTGCATCCAGACAAGGTATTTTAATTATGTTGAATATCTCGTGGTTTCTTTTCTTCATTGCACAAATGTCATTGTTTTTTCTTAAGTTACAAAAATATCAATATCTTTAAAATATATATAAAGAAAGATGAGTAAAAAAATAATTCTTGTTGTTATCAGTGATATGATTATCTTGTATAATTGTCAGTTTTATAAAAAATAATACATGAATATGCTTCTAGACATATTGTAAACATTAATTTTACTATTTAAACAAATTTAAGAAATATAGTTTTTTAAGAGAAATAATTTAAGAGAAAAGAAATTTATTGCGAATCAATGTCTCTTTTGTTATAGCAAACTGGTACTGCGAATGAGAATATAGCGAAGTTGATTTTTATGGAGCTGAACAACGCGTGGAGCACATTCGACAATGACCCGTCGCAACAAAATCTATTTAGCTAATTTTAATGACCTGTTATCGAGAGAACCTGTTTCTGTAATTAATTTAGTTCCTAGCGGAAGAGGAGCTAAGAGTAAGCGAGGATTTTATCCGTGAGAAAACCGCGTAATTGCATTCCGACTACGTTATTTTAGCTGTATACAGAGAGAGAGAGAGAGAGAGAGAGAGAGAGAGAGAGAGAAAGTAAGAAAGAGAGAGAGAGAGAGAGAGAGATAAATAGAAAGAAAGAGAGAGAGAGAAAGAGATAAATAGAAAAAAAGAGGCGATGAGAGCGGGATCAGCGAAGCAATGCTTCGAGATGTCTCCTTATTGTTTCCACGCCTTGTAAACCTAGTTAAAAATTTCAATTATGGCGTATAACTATATGTATATAATGCAAATGTACATTAAAAAGAAGATCCCAAATATACGAAGCTATTTTCCGGCCGAAAGAAAGCTTTGTACACTATTATCTATCGTAAATATAAAAATTTCCAGTAGAAATATTCTGTTGCTCTCATCATTACAATATTTATCTAATCGGTGATAAAAAAGATTGTGAAATGTAAGAACAATATCATAGATATTACAATATAATACTATTTTTTCGAATTTAATGCACAGAATATCACTACTAAAAATATGCTTTCTCTGATTTTGAAGATTTTAACTTTGAGATTTTTTGAAATAATGAAAAAATGGAGAGGTAGCTTTTAACAATTAATACAATTAATAAAAATTATATAATTTCATCAATTCGTAAAATATTAATATAAAGAACAGTGCAAAAATGATCAGTAAAAATCAATAGCTTTAAATTTTGATTTAAAATATTCTTTGATATACAAGATGTCTCCCAAGATATTCGATTTTAATTTTAATAAAAATTTTATTTTTTTTATAAACTTAAAATAAAATTTTTGTTAAAAATAAAATTTTGTAGATTCCGTTATTTTTGTACAACTATTCAATATATAGTATTGAACACGTTAATCAAATTTCGAATTAAGTTAAATTTGTAAAAATTTTACTTTTATTTTTACTTATACGTAACATCTGTATTTTTGACATGTTAAAAAAGAATCGAATTAGAAATTTATTAAAATTGAAAGATCAAAGATCTCATTAAAAGATGAAAGATTTATATCTTTTTATATTTTGCTAATTGAGCTTCTCGAGTCTCGATTTGCATCAATTTTACACTTTTAAATTCTTATACATTATCCTCAATCTCGAAAGCTATTACTGCTTTTATTTATTTCCGTCAAGAAAAGAATCGGATTGCGCGCAAATGAAATCAGGTCACGGCTTCCGGAACACCCTATATTAGGAGGAGCCCCAAGAAATCCGTTCTTTTTTAATTCATAGAACGCTGCGAGAGACATTTATAACGGGCGTCAGCAAAATTTGCGAGTATTGGTGGCATTGTCGGAGAGTCGCCGATACACGCGCACACATACAGATATGTGTATACATGAGGAGAGACAGGCGCAATACAAACGAGAATGCCACGAGCGCGCTCCCGTGGACCACAGGGTACCACAGGGGTGAAATTTAAAGGGAGGGGCTGCTCTCGTGAAAATGGCCGTTACGCACGGGGTAGATTGTCCGGGGGTGGGCAAGTGACGGGGGATGGTGGTGGTGGCTCTTCGTGTCCTCTGACGACCAATTGACCGAGTGCCTCGCGACGATCGACACGGTTTTATATCCCCGTTTACGATAACTACAACAGTTATTATGCGGCGACGGCCAAAAAGCGATCCCTGCTCGGCTCTTCTTAAACCCCCACCGGACTCGCGACCTTCCATCCCTTCCGTCAAGAGGTAAGGTCGTCTCTGTTTTGTGCACCCCCGAGAGAGATATCCATTTTACGAATTATGCGATTAGAATCTCTCGCCCCAAAGCGTGTATGAGATGTGCCTATTTTTTTTCTTCTTCGTGCTCCGAAAGAGTTATTCTGACACTTGCGAAATATCAAGTGGAAAACGGAGTGACCGTTCCTGGCACAGGTGAAATATTTCTCTCGGTATGTAACGCGAGAATATCCTACTCAATCGTGTATGATATATCGTTATTTAAAGAAAGATTTTAAAATATATCATGTAATTAATTTTATATTAATCGTTTTTACAAAAATTGTTGGCTTTAAAATTTTTTTTTCATAAAACGTTAATACTTGTGATAGCATATAATGTGTGAAGAAAAGTTTCTCAAGAAAAATGTAACTTAAAAGTAATATAAAATTAAAAAGTAATATAAAATAAAAGTAAAAAAAATATAGGTATATACATATATACATACACATATATATGCATACACACACATACACACATGTATACATACACATATATATGTATGTGTAGATTGTACAGACACTACATTAACGAGATACTAACAAATATTTATTAATACCAGTTTATTTATCATTTATATCAATCAATGATATATGATAAATTACTTTCAGATTAGGTCTGCTCTTCGGCAATGTACGTCAAAAAAGTTAAAAAATAGAAAAGAAAAAAGAGGAAGGGGAGAATAAACAAGGAAAACCGAGGAAGATGCTTGGCCCCTATTCAGGAGTGGTGATCCTCCTCTTGCTAGGGGCTTCTGTGTCAATATCTGGCACTGCGGATGCTGCGAAATCTCTGAGAGCGGCGAAGGCCAGGCTCAGATCGTCTTACGCATCTTGGCGGATAGTGGTATGTTTAACTCAGCCTCAGACCCCTTTCAAGACAGACGTACAGAAAGCATGGGAGGAAGCGAGACTGGAATCCTTTCACGCGGACATGGATGTGTCGTATATAGAAGCAAGGATGGCACCCATGACGGATTCCCTGTCATATCCCTTGTCACTATTAAACAAATTTTGTACAGACATCGAAGGCGGAAAGACAGTACTAAGCCTTATTATAGGGGGAGGATCAGCAGCCAGATTTCTCGTCACGGCTGCTGCCGCCTTGAATCTTCCAGCTCTGTGGTTGCCGTTCACGCACCGAGATTTTCTTCGTCAGGTACACGTTTACAAAATTTAGAATTGCACAGTTGGAGCTGTGCCAAAGAAAAAGGAAATCTGTATAAATGTAGGATGTCCTAAACATGTGTGAAAAAAAAATTGAGAAGCGTAATTCCTTAAAAAAATATTCATATGTGACTAAAACGACATACAGAAGTTGAAGTTTTAAAAAACAACATGTCAACTTTGGCCCTCTCAGTGTCCAGTATTGAAATGATCATTTCCAACGATTCTTATAATTTTATTCAATTTTATTTTTATCAAAGTATATTTTTTTAAAATTTCATTATTTTAACTTTGAACACTCCGTAACTCAATTAGGATGTTAGTATACATGAACTTCTCTTCCAAAAATTATTCAAAGATTCAAACTATTCAAACCTCGAAATTTTTCGCACATGTTTAGCAACACCTTATAATCCTTTTTGTTCTCTTATCACTAAATTCTTCGCCTCAGATACAAACCAATAATACAAATGTCTTGCAAGATACAGGGATAAAAGATGTTACTTCTTGTTTATTTAGGGGAATCTTGGCCGGTTTGAGAACCGTATAGGTTCGAGCCCAAAAGAGATCGGAGCAGCGGCTGCGGCCCTGATGCATCGAGCTAATTGGCACGCGTTCACCCTCCTCGTTGATACTACTCTGTTGCCCGTAACCCATCTACTACAGACGAATCAACCGACGAGGTTGACACCTCGCGCGATCATACATCTGCCGACTAACGATAGAACTTTGAAGTTGAGATTGAGACGAGTGGCCGAGGAAAGTGGCAGCGGCGGAGTCGTGGTGATGGCGTGCGATCTGAATAATGCTCGCAAGATTCTCGGGGCGGCCGGTAAATTCGAGATGCTCTCCGGCAGATTCCTGTGGCTGTGGCTGGACCTTAAGGCGGAGTTACGTCCGAACGAACCCAACGTCATCAGCTCAATGATGCATGGTACACGCGTCGTCGCCGCAGCCGCAGCCGCAACGAACGAGAACTCACCACTGCTAGAGCGAACGGCAAATCTCGCGTCGACGAACGACGAGCGGCCGCCGCCGTTAATGAGTTCATTGCCGAGTTTAGCCAACGATATACACCGGCTGCAAGAGTACAGATGGCGAGACGAGAAGATCGTGATCAAGCGAGAGGACAGAGGCTTCAATTTCGACGAGGAGGAAAACGGGAAGTTCGCGAGCGACAGGGAACTTAATTCCAAGAACTTTATGCCGGTCGGCATGCTCGCGTTGAGACCGTCTGGCATCAAGATCATGGGCGGCGACACCATACTCTCGAGAATGTTGCGAGAAACCTCGCAGGCATTGGACGAGACCTTTCAAGAGACGAAGCAGCGATTGAGCCGTATGCGTGACGTGCAGCTCAGGGAACACTTTGTCCCGGAATGTTTTCCGGATCGTAACGCCAAATTCATGACGAGTGACGCGAGAGAGAACGTTTCCGCGATTCTGACGAGCAAATTGCGAAGATCCATGAGACAGATCTCCAAGGACAAAGCGGAGTTTCAGTTGCTGAACTTGCAGGCCGTCAGATTTCCCGGGAATAAGACTCAATTAAGGTTTAATTCGGTCGTAAATAAATCCACTTATCGCTCGCTCGAAGACGAAAATAATTAATTACGTCAATATTTAACAGGTGGACCAAAGTCGGCACCATCAAGGGTGGTAGGGAGGTCCGTCTGGATACCATAATCTGGCCAGGTGGCGGTATTGTGCCGGCGTACCTTGAACAGGGCGGCGAGAAGGTCGGGATGCCAATTTATCGCATCGTCACCGCCCTAGCGTCGCCCTTCACCATGGTCACAAATCTACAGGAAGGTTTCTGTCTGCGCGGTCTTACGTGCCAGCAGGGCGACACCGTCATGTGCTGCTACGGACTGAGCATGGATCTATTGACGGTAGTTGCGCGCGAATTAGGCTTCCGCTTTGATCTCTATTTGGCGGAAGACGGACTGTTTGGCAAACGGAACGGCCGGAGCGGCACGTGGAATGGTGTGATGGGCGAGTTGGTGTCCGGCCGGGCTCAGCTGGCGTTCGCACCTTTAAGTGTGTCTGCTCATCGCGCCGAAGTGGTAGACTTCACCACACCGTACTATTTCAGCGGCGTGAGCTTCCTTACGGCACCGAAGCTCCGTTCCGAGATACCGCTGTTCGCGTTCCTGTTTCCGTTTAGTACGGAGCTGTGGATCGCCGTGTTCACGTCTCTCAATTTCACCGCGATCGCCGTGGCGCTCTATGAGTGGTTCAGCCCATTCGGCCTGAATCCCTGGGGCAGACAGCGTAGTAAAAACTTCTCCATCGCCTCCGCGTTATGGGTGATGTGGGGCCTCTTATGTGGCCATCTCGTGGCCTTTAAAGCACCGAAATCCTGGCCTAACAAGTTCCTCATCAATATCTGGGGCGGTTTCTCCGTTATCTTCGTGGCATCCTATACGGCTAACATTGCCGCCCTTATCGCCGGTCTGTTTTTTCACTCTGCAGTGAGCAATTATCACGATAAAAGCGTAAGTATCTCGGTTCTTTTTTTTAATATCGGTAAATTTGTTAATTACTCAAAGGTGCTGTAAAAAAAAAGAAGAATAAAAAAATATTAGATCCTTTTTTATCTCCATTATATTCACTGCTAATTAGAGAGAGTTATTTTTTATGTTAATTATCGAATTTATTATTATTTATATAAAATATTACCAATTAAATAAAATGTAATTAGTACTAATAACATTTCAATATGAAAGAAAACTATATATTTCATTTAAACATCTCTAGTCTTTCAATCATAAATCTTTGAAACTTGTGTACATTTTACAGCTGCTATCGCAAAGAGTGGCCACGCCAAGAGCGTCCGCGGCCGAATACTATGTGCAAAAAGCGAATCCGCAGTTATGGTCTCACATGGCTCGATTTTCCTTGTCGGACATCGCCGAGGGGGTAGAAAGATTGAGGAACGGCACTCTTGACATCCTGATAGGGGACACGCCAATCTTAGATTACTATCGCGCGACCGATGACGGTTGCCGCTTGCAGAAGATCGGTGACACCATCAACGAAGACACCTACGCGATCGCTCTTACAAAGGGACATCCTTTAAAGGAGAGCATATCTAAAGTCATAGCGAATTACACGAGCAACGGATTACTCGACATTCTGCAGGAGAAATGGTGAGCGATGCGCAAAAAATAAGCGCAAAAATTGAATAATCGATATCGGTTCGCGGACAAACTTTCTTTTTATTTGCATGATAACGGGAGCGTAATAATTACGTTAGACTAAAATACATTAAGTGATAAATAAAGTCTATATTGCGCAGACTGTCCAGGAAAATATGTATAGCGTGCAAAGATCTAAGTTTCATTAATCTTCAATTGCTAATGCAATTCTCTAAAAAATATTTCTCACGCGTATGAAATATAAAATCAATCATTCATTTAGAGATTTTTACAAGAATCATCGATAAGCCACTAAAGAAGATACTACAATTTAGAGGGTAGCGTAAAACAGATATCTTATAAAACGAGTTTTTTCAGGTACGGTGGTCTGCCATGTCTCGGAGGTCGGCAAGGTATGGATGCAGGACTAGATTCTGAGACTGGTGGTCAACCCAGGCCACTGGGAGTAGCATCCGTTGCCGGAGTGTTTTGCTTACTTGGGATGGGCGTGGTGCTCGGTACTATTATACTGGCGGGAGAGCATCTGTTCTACAAGTACACGTTGCCGCGATTGCGACACAGACCGGAGGATTCCATTTGGCGCAGCCGTAACGTCATGTTCTTTTCGCAAAAGCTGTACAGGTTTATCAATTGCGTGGAACTAGTCTCACCACATCATGCCGCCCGGGAATTGGTGCACACAGTACGACAGGGCCAGATCGCATCACTCTTTCAAAAAAGCGTCAAACGAGTACGTGCTATCGAATTTTTTTTTTCATGTAGCATGTGGTCTATGCCAGTTCGCGAATATAAATCTTGATAATAGCAAAGAAATAGATTTTTTTAATAATAATTTAAGAATATAGATATTTACGTATTTTTAAAATAATTAAAATAGAAAAGCATGTTTAAAGACCTAATCTACTTTAGAAAAGTTGGTAATTTTGATGAATTTTTTGTGAAAAATATTAAAAATAGATTTTTAGCGTTTTTCACATATTTTATTGATTTTAATATATTTCATTATTGATGTATGAACAGTATTTTAGTATTTTTAAATCTTGAATGAAGCTTTTTGTGGTCAATATCTGTAATATAATTTTCTGCGCATAGTATTTTTAAAATGCATGATTTGATGATATGACATGCTGCTCCTCATGAAACTGTTTGAAAAAGTACTCGATCTAGTTTTATTCCATAGAATGTTTTTAGAAAACCGAATCTAATTTCATTAGAAAAAAATTGAAAAATAACAAAGTCGTGTTATTTTAAAATATATTTAAATATTTTTTATTTTTATATTTCAATTTTGCTAACATTTTTTCATTTCTTGAAAAAGTCAGAAAAATACTAAATTATAATTAGATTCAGTATGTCAAAAAAGTTCTCTTTCATTAAAAAAGAATTAAAACTATTTGGTTTATTAATTTTCAAGATATATTTGGCCCTCTAAAGTAGATTAAGTTTTTACAAATACAATCGTTTTTTAAACAAAAAATTATTAAAGATTTACACTCACGAACTTACGGACCAGTATGTTTATTTTAGTCTCTAAATATCTACAATGTTTCCATGTTCCAGAAGGAACATGAACAACGTCGTAGACGTAAAAGCAAAGCGCAGTTCTTCGAAATGATCCAAGAAATTCGAAGGTAAAGGAATATTATTATCAGACATTTCTTCTTAATGTACTCTCATAATCAATTATATCAAAATAGAAGAGAAATTAATGCGCCGGATATCTAATTAATCTAATTTTTCAGAGTTCAACAGGAAGAGAAAATCGAAACAGTACCCGAGGAATCTACGGAGACCACGAAGAAAGACGAGAAATTGGGGAAGGGTAGAGAAAGGAGTCGTAGCAAGAGTCCCCTGATGCCTCGTAGTCCGAAACGTTCAGAGAAAAGCAGGAGTTCGACCAATCTCTCAGCGTCTCGTCTCGGATTATCGCCGGTGAGTCTCGACGCGCCGATGAAACCGCGCGAGTTCACGCTCAGCAGCACAAACCTACGCGCAAGAAGCCCACTGGAGACGGTTGGACGTAGATTGAGCCACGGCGATGGCGGTTCGCCGCCGCCGCGTCTGGGCTCGCATCTCGGCGGTAGTGCCACATTACGTCCTACATTGGCGGCTACCAGAAGCGAATCAACTGGTGGTGGTACTCCGACCATCAGACGTGAATCTGCCGTAGGAGGAGGAGGTGTGCCGACCCCAAGATACTCTCGCAGCCCCGCCAAGCGAGGCCAATCCTTCCCGGTGTTCGCTACCCTGAGGCCGCCGCACTCGGTCAAGAGTCCGCTGTTGTCGCCCAACAGTGAGCTCACGTCCGCCATTGGGAGAAAACTATCACGTGAATGGGGATCTGGGACTATCAGTCTTACTAGATCGTCGGAGGCTATAGGTGGTGGTGGTAACAGTAGTGGCGGCGGCGGTGGCGGTGGCGGTGGCAGTGGCAGTGGCAGTGGCAGAAGCGGTGGCTCAACCCACACTCTAAATCAAGAAATGACGCTCTCTCTGACTCGTTCCACGGATGAGGAAAAGGCCCAGGTAGAAACGTTGCCTATCAAGAAACCTATACGGCGTGCTAGGAGCCATGAGAATCGTGACAGCGGCAAATTGATGGTGGATCTGCCATCGCCTAGATTGACTCAGCCGGTGGTGGGCGGCCGATCGGTGAGCGAGCGAACGAAGAAGCAGCTCGAGTCCGAGCTGAAAGCAATTTTAAGTGCCAGGGCTCATCATCGCGACCTGCATCCCCCTTGATAGGAGACCGCCCCTAATTAAAAAGAGAGTTCTCGAAAGAACGTTCGGCTTTGGATGATCGCTAAGCCTCTGAGGGGCTTTGATTTAAGCAATATCAGATTTATAGGTCAATTTGTAGAGGAAATTCGACACAGTTTCGAAGAAATTAAGAAAGAACTTAAATCAGAATCACAGCGGAAAGCGCAGGAGAAATTTTCTGCGTAGAAGGGACAGAGAGGATGATGGGAGGGCAACGGAGAGGAAAGAAAATCTCTTTGATTGTTCATACGTTGTTACGTACATTAATAATATAGAATAATGTCGATAAACAAAAGTGCTATAAACTTTAGTAGTGATGTCTTAAATAGTTAGCGAGATACACACGAGTACTAAGATATTTTCTTGTTGGCATTTTAACTCTACATTAACCGGCAGCCTGGGTGAGTCTCTCTCTTTCTCGATTGCTATGGATATCAGATATTGTACGCTACAGCGTTTCTCAACTCAACTTTGATTTTTTGATGCGATTCTTAGCGCGTAAAATTCTATCCTGAAAATTAAATTAATTCTTAAAGCATTTACTACTAGATCAGAGATCTGTTCAAGTTTATCGAAGCTTCATCATCCGCCTTTGTGTGCTGCCGTAACTCATAACGATCGATTGGCCGCACGAATACAACGAACATTTCTGGATAGCTTTAATATCTTTGTTTTCATTTCCTTCTATTTTAATAAAGTGGAGACGTATTGCTCGTAAACAAAAATTCAGATAAGCCTGTATTATCTGTTTTGAGAATGTAAATATCTCAAAAATAGACTATATTGTTCCTTCATCTCGTTATAACGCGAATATTGTAAATATAATGAAAAATATATGTGTATATAAGGATTTTTTTCGCATAAGACAGAATGATAATGGCAAAAAATAATTATCTCGTGTTGAGAAACGCTGCTTTAACGAACTTCGTCGTCGAATTGGACTGCATACTGCCATATTTAATAATTTTTGTGACTGCGGAAGGAGAGACTCGCTCGATGGACTCTCGGCGTAGAATGACCACTAATCGCGAGATAATATGCATTAATCTTACAATTATCATCGCGTCTGTCGAGGGAAAGGATTACAAAGTGAATGGAATTCTAACCCGAGTCTAATGTATTTGTATAATACACGGGTTATTCAATACGGGAGAGGAGGTGTCACCTGAGGAGATCCTCCCGATTTAAAATAAGACAAAAATTTCACAGCCACACACATGTGTGTATGCGTGTGGTTGCGAATTCTTCGCGTGACTTACGATTATTTCCTAAAGCAGTGCCAAAGATCAATATTACGCGATATAACTCAAATCTCTCCATCCTTTTGCTTTATCTTACACGAAAAAATGTATAATAATAGAACACAAGTTTTAGCAAAATAAGCGTCAGATACAGAGAATCGCGGTATATTATACTAATAATCTTTAATAATCGTTTGTTTTGCTGCGACTTGGTAAACTTCCGACGATTTTACTAGACTGATAGATGAAAATTTAATTCAGGAATTGTAAATGAAACATTATTGGAATTGAATAATTGTTACTGATCGATGTGTATGTCCCATGTTTTTGTCTATCGAATCACTTTGATGAAAGAGGGCGAATTCACACGTCTAGTCTCATTATTATTATAATTCGACTTAGAGGTAGAGCGTGGATGTGTATGGGACTAAATTTTAATTAATTACTTTTAAAAAAAGGAGGATTTATGAGCGAGGCCTTAGAGGAGTTAGTCGTATCCGCCCAAAAATATACTTTACTTAACTAGTACTGTACTAATACTGTACTCGAATATTTCACTACATTATATTACATAATAGAGTACATATATACATATATATATATATATATATATATAGACATTTAGTTTCACATAGTTTCCTTAGTAGAAAATGCTATTGTATTCAGAGAACTTACAGACTAAAAAAATCCCTCGAGTCCTTAGCGGGTAGATATATATCTTCGTATGTGTGAAAGTGTATGTGTGACTATTCACCAAGAATGCAGCATGACCGCCAGGTAGAGGTGTAAAGAAACAGTTTTTTCCTAACAGAAAACAAACGTTGAAAACAAAACATGTTGCAAATTTGTTTCTTTTTCGCGTTATTTTTTAAAATATAATATTTTTTTTCATTTTTTATTAATATAATAAAAAAAGTTAAGTTATATTTTTATTGTTTTTTCGAGAGTAATTTTAATAAATTAATGACATTTTTAGATAAATCACATCAAATATGATTCAGGGAATTTTCAGTTAAATGCATAATGGAAATTTTTGTTATGCATCTAATTGAAAATTATCCGGTAATCATCATATCATTTTAATCGCAAAAATCTCATTAACTTATTAAAATTACTTTCGAAAATAAATAAATTAAAAATATAAGAACTTTGGTTTTTTTATAATATAAAAGAGTAATTAAAGTACATTTTTAAAGATCACAAACGATATTTTTGTATCTATAATAAAGACAATTCATTCAACTTCAATTTTATTTTTGAAAACTTTACCTAATTAAAATAGTAATTATGTAACTATATAGCCAATTGGAATACTATTTACACTTAAAAATAGTGGTAATTAGTTTAAATCTATCTAAAAAATCAAAAATAAAGATGAAAAATCAACTTATAATAATCAAAATAAAAAATATTAAATATCTGAAAAAAATTTGAGAAATTTTGAAAGTAAATCATCAATCAAGTTTATCTTTTTTTTTTCACAGAAAAAAAAACATTTTATTCTTTCTATTTACATCTCTACCACTAGGTCGAGAACAGTCTACATACTTCGGTAGCTCATAGAAGAATGTCATTGTCTTTGTTAGTGATTGTGATTAGGTAGTTTCGAGAGAGAGTTTCGATTACGATGCGCCAAAAGCTACGATCGATGAAAGTGATTCCTGAATGATTGCACTAGTCGTGCCGTTTTACAGACACGCTAAATATGTAATCATTTCGCTGAGTCTCTCTCGTTCGCCTATGTTCCATTCGTAAAGTTCCCCATAAAAGCACCTCGGGTAACTCAAGCTAATAACTCCTTTCTCTTTCTCTCTTTATCTTCTGACATTTATCTCCTTTAAAGTACTGATACTGATTTAAATTATAATGTCGCTTTAAAAAAGCTCTGAAAAGTAAAAATTTTTTTTAAATTCTCTATAGCGTTTAATCTGTGTGTACTGCAATTAATTCAGGAAGTGATCAAAATACAAACATAGGGGGCCAGTCTAGAGTCACCCGCGCCTAAGGAAATCAAAGATAGACTTATCGAAATTAATTTATAAGCTGTAATATTCTTTATAATATGTGGGTTCTGCCGGCAATTTGGTTCAGTAGGGCTCTCTCTCTTTCTCTTTCTCTTTGTTTTCATTGCATGTTCTGTTTTTGTAAACATCTCGAGAAAGCCTGGCATCCTTCAAGGATCCCCCTGTACATATGTGTCTTCTACTAGATACCTGAAGGAACACTATTGCACTGAATTAAAGGTCGAGCCCCTTCCTATACAGCACAGAACATTGCAGCAACATTGTTACAATATTGCTACAATTTTCTGTACTGTATGGGCTACTTCTTTGTGCGCCAACAAGAGCCTGGATTAGTTACACATTATACGTACGGAAAGATGAGAGCAAACTGCACTTGTCTCGTTTGTGAGAAAGTTCCAAAACGGTCTCAATAGATACAATTATATATTATCATATGACAGTAGATTGAACACTTGAGAAGCAAATTTCAGATTTGCATTATATAATTTAGAGTTATTTCAATCATTATTTCTCGCGTTGGAAAAAAAACGATGTACAAAGTTTGAAAAATTATTTTCAAGACATATATTTTAAGAAAATATGAAAATTTTTCTTTAAATAATTTATAATTTATAAAATATTTTTTAAATTTATCTCTTAAGAGAGACGCTTACTATTATCTCATTGCAATGCACACATACAATACGCGTTATAATATGGGTCTTGTTATAAATATATATATATATATATATATCTAGAATTGCCGGCCTACATACAATACACAAGATTTACTATTTTTATATGAATCACGTATTTTTTTCTGCGAGACTTAAGTTTTCAAGTGCGCTCGCTCTTCTCTTTCCATCACGATTCTCTCGACGTATTGTTTTCCGACAACAATGCGCGAGGGAACAACTCGAATGTATTACTTGTGCAAAAAGAATTGCGAATTAATATCATCGAGAAAGTACAGACGTAATAGAGAAAACAAAAAAGAAATTCGTGAGAATGGGAAGCAAACGGATACACCAATTAGCGAAAACGAGAATTCATTGTTTCGAAGAATACGTAACGACAAGTTGAATTATCAAATTACACAGTTTATGCCTCATCATCTCTCATCTTGATTAACGGCATCATATTAATTCATTCACTAACCGGCAATAAAATTATTCTACAAAGCACTGCCATAATTTGAACTGTTGTTACGTTGATTTTAAAATCCTGCCAAATAATACCACTATTTGATATTGTCTAACAAACGGGTTTTTCCTGCGATAAGTGATGAATTAATATGCAAATGCCTCTGTGCTGTTATCAAAAATATTTTTCTATAGAATGTATTAACTTATATATTTTTTTCCGCAAAGATTATTTCTGTATCCGTCAATAATTCTTCATTATTTCTTTATATATATATAAAACATTTAGTTACATGTTTTTAATTCTTTAATTATTCTTTTAATACAATCTTTAATTACTGATTTCAGACAGTTACATATTTTTTTCTTGTTAAATACGTAGTAATTAAAAAATTGTAACGTTAAAACATTTTTTTTCTAATTGCAAAAAATTAAAAAAAATCTTACCACGAGATTGAGACATCGTCAGTTTTTATTCTGGCATGTGATATTGTTGATTTGTCACTTGATAAGCAGACATCGGCTATAACATATAATATAACGCATTAGAATTTTATGGAATAATTAAACATAAGAAGTTAACACATAGAGCATGGCTTCTCCATTTGTATGATTGCAAATGGGTTACCATTACGCGTATATCTCATTGTTTTTCACATATACATACTTGAAAGCAGACAGTTTAATCGATCACGCTGGACTGCACCAACTCATGGACAGCCTGCGAGTGAATAATGGGATACATTGTGTTTCTCATTTCGTTTCTCTCACACGTGGGGCTAGAAAATTGAATATTCTGCGTATGAACATTCGACTTATCGTAAATCAACGATAGCCATCGATATCGTAGACAACGTTTAAAAACTGGAAAGAAAAAAAACGAGGATCCCCTCCAATCGTGGTGACTTGTTGGCGTACGACATTAGGATAGGTTCCTCGTAACCTACCTACCTCGTCTCTCTTGTTACGCCTACTGCTACACTGTTATTGTTGATGAAAAACTCCATATTAATAAGAAATAAATATATTATCTCAAAGCTCTCTACAATGCTCTTCATCCTCGTCTCCAAAATCCGTGAAAACTCCATGAAAAATTGAAGAGTAAATTTCATTACAAACATACTTAAGATTTGATTGAAAAGAATATATAACAGGTTTTTATTTCAATAATCAAACAAAAAGCTGGTAATAATCATTTACAATTAATCACATCTGTAATTTTAGAGTACAGACACATATTTATATCCTCGTGTAAAACGAACAAGTATTCAAATTACATTATTAAATCAATTGGAAATATTTATACATTTAAAGAGTGCAAATAATGATACACTATAATAAATTTTTTTATAATACTTATTTGTATATATATTGAATGCGTGCGCGCGCACGCATATATGAGTGTGTGTGTGTGTATATTGTGTATGTATGTGTGTGTGTATGTGCGTATGTGTATGTATACACAAGGAATTATCAATGATATTCACGAAAAGAATATCTCCAAATCGTCCATGTCAGATAAAGAAAAATCATCGGACAGATCATGAATATCGACACTAGGATCGTAATCCGCACTATCATCGCCAGAATCATCTCCATCTCCGCCATCATCATCATCACCGTCATCGTCATTATTTTCCCTATCGTTTTGATCATTATCATCGCCATTGTCTTCTGCACCAGCATCTGCATTATCACCATCTGCTTTAAAAGTATGTGAATAAATTCTGGTCTCAAGTTTAAATGTTATATGTACAGGGTGAGACATTTTTAAAGTGTTACAAGATTTTCTCCGAACTTGACGTAGTAGTAAAAAATGTTTCAAATAAAATTTATAGAGTTCTGAGAGAGAAAAAAATTGATATAATCTTAATTTTAATTGATATAATCTTATGATCACACTTTTAAAAATCATGTAAAGATCAATCTAGTTTTTTAAATTAAAACTACTTTAATTTTTTCGATTTGTTTTATCGATTCTTTTATTTTGTGTATAAAAGTATTGAAATAAGATAATCGAGAAATAATCGAGAATAAATATCTTACGAGATATTTCGTAATTTATGTTAAACTATAAAATATTTCATAAATTATTCATTTTTTGGATTTCCTGCCCTTATAATTTTTTAAGCCGAATATTGTGAAGAACCGACTTATATAAAAAAATTCAAATAGTTTTATTTAAAAAATCTGATCTTTACATGATCTTGGTACCCAAAATTAAACTAATATCTGTTTCCTCCTTTTCAAATTAAACAATTTCTATCTAAAATATTTTTGCTGTAATGTATATACTTTCAGAAATAATAACTTGTAACATTTTAAATGTCCCTTTATATATATATATATATATATATATATATATATATATATAATTTAATTTAAAAATCCGATAATAATATAAAGATAATATAAAGATTATTGAACATTGATTGTAGAACAATGATACAAATCATAACAAATAATAGATCCCTGATACAAATCACAACAAATAATGCAATATCAATTTTTACCATCTGCATTATTATCGTCAGACGCAGAATTGGAACCATCATCATCACTGGCATCAAGATCTTCCTCTTCATCATCCTCATCAGCTTCATCTTCGTCGTCTCTTCGTCTTCCAACATCGTACAGTCTAACGCATGATTCCTGTATGCTCGAGAAGTCTCCTATATTCTCCACTATAGCAATCTGAGTGTCAAATTTGTTGCATGCAAGGCCATAAATCCCTCTTTTTACATCACAAGTTGCTGCAAATTGTATTTATAAAGAGAATAAGTTATTTATATATATAGTGTTCGGAAAATCGCCCGCAATACTTCGGGAAGTGATTCGGGACCCCAAAAAAAGGAAAAAAGCTATATAAACATAGATCCGGAAATAAGTCGTTTCCGAATTATAGTCACTTTTATGTTAAAAAAATCATAATTTATAGTCCATTTGGCTTTAAATTTAAATTTTTAAATTTAATACTTAATATTTAAATTTAATTTTATACAGTTTTTTTCCTTCTTTTTGGGTCCCGAATCACTTCCCGAAGTATTGCGGACGATTTTCCAGACACTATATAGAATAAAATAAAATTTTATCATTTATAAATTCTAATAATATAGATTTTTTTCTTTCTCTTACCAATATTACTATAATCTAAAGCATCTAGAGTCTTAAAAGAAGTCAAATAATGAGAATCATTTTCAGCCTCTTGTGCATCTAATGCAACTGCATATATAATATTGTTGACCGGCGAAAAAATCACTTCCATCTCATCAAGGGTAGATATTGTTTTAAGTAAGTGAAACGTCCTCAAATCCCATACTTCAGTATTAGAAACAACTTCGGTCCCATTTGGATGAAAAACTCCGTTTAATGTTTGATTTAATTTATCGAATTTATGGATTTCTTTGCCCGAATTAACATCCCACAATATGCCATCACTAAGAACCAATTCATCATTCATACTGAAAGTCGCACGATTTTTAGTATATTGATTTGAAATTGATGGCGTCAAGGTTGTTAATAATTTTCCAGTTCCTATATCATATATCTAAAATAGAAAGATACATGAAATATATAGAATTATTTTAAGATTTTTTTTTATTAAGATATAATGCAATTATAAAATTTGATATAAAATCCAATGTAAGTGCAATCTTTTTTGAACACCTTACATATATACACATAGCATATTTATAATATTTACCGTTGCGCTTTCGCCTTGCGTGCCAATTATTCTATCTTGTAACTTTCCGAATTCAACATAGTCTTCATTCTCTAAGGGTAGTTTCATTTCAAAAAATGCTCCTATATCCCAAAGTGCTGACATAGGGCTTCTCCAAGCAGTTGATGTCAACAAAAGATTACCACGTTGATTACATTCCATATGATATACATATGACTCGTGACATTGATAAGTTGCTTCCTCCATGCCTGTATGAATATTGAACATTTTGATGTCTCCAGCATGGGTGCCCAAAATGAGATATTGTGTACAAGGCTGCGTTCAAAGATACAATTAGAAAAAGATGTACAAAGTAGTAGAATTCAAAAAATAATTTACAGAGCTGGAAGTTAATTGCAATTTTAGGTCCCCAATTTCGTGATTAATGATCAGTGTCTTTCCTCCCTTACCAATATTTTAACAATGATTCAATCTTAAAAATGATCACAAATGCACTAAAATCGTACTCCTTTAGTAGAACTACAAAAATTCTTTTTAAAGTTTTTTTTCCTTTAAATATTTTACACTATTAATAATCAAAATATTATTTATAATGTTTCCTACACAAATTCTTGTACATACAAAGCTTCAATTCACTATTGCATTAACAAGTCTTTTGATTATTAATAAAATATAAAATACTTGTGAGGAAAAAAAGGAAAACGAGAACTTTTGCGATATTATTAGAGAAATATGATCCCATTGA